CTTTCTGTAGCTCTCCTTCAAATTCAGTGGATTTGATCATGTTGTAAATTTCCAATGTAATTATTTGATGTTGGCTGGCTTTTGATACTGGGTTAGGTGATTTGGGTACAGCATCTCTGCACTGAGAGGATCTACAATAACACGAATGTATTGAAATTGTATAGTTTTTACTTGCCAAGACTTCCAATTGAATTTTATAGGTGTCTTTTTTGAGGTAGGGTTTTCTGTGGTGTTCCCAGGCCCCATCGCAGCCTTGATGGCTTATCTGACTGCATGTTGTGCTTTGGACAGACTTATGAGGTCAAGGATTTGGGATTGTAGCTACAATGCTAATGGCACCTACCTGTACATTTCTTTTGTTTCATATTTCAAAGCAAAATACTTTGCTGAAAGTTGAGACTGGGCAGGAAAAGAGACATGGTGGCAGTAATATTTCCGTAGCCTACCTAGGTTTAAGCAGGAGCTGCTGCTGAATAGTGTTATGAGAGTAACGCATGCTCTGCCCTTTGCCTCGGCACGGAGGTAAGGTGAGAGTCAGGAAGGGTCAAGCCAGAACTGTACCTTTGAAAATGGCCTGCATAGCCCCTTGAGAAAGGTTGTCCCAATCTGTTTTTGCTCTGGCTCAGTAATAAACATCATCTTCCCATCCATATACCGTGGACTGTACCTGTTTTCACCAGCTACTCTTGTGGGGCCAAATGTACTGACTGTGAGGGGGTGACAAGCTGTTGCCTTCCTTTCTCCTCTTCTCAGCACAGACTCACGAGGTATGTGCTCCACGTCATATGATGGGACGAAGGCTGTTACTATAGAGCCTTCCCCTGCAAACACTGTAGCTGCATTCAGCCGCACATCTTCTTACCCTCAGGTGGATATCTTGCTGCAATTGCGTGCAGGCAGTGAAATTGCTTTGAAATGAAGGGGTGGGAAAGAGGGAGGACAAAACACATAAAACATTTTCCATTTTTCTTAATGTTTTCTTGTTAGTAATATACTTATTAAGAATGTGTTAAGCTGCAGCCCTTCCTCCTATGCAGATCCGACATCTGTGGCACATACCTTTGGGACATTGGCTTTGGTTGCTGTGATTTGCACTACAACGTGATACCTAAGAGGTTTATATGTTGCCTGCAGCTAATGCAGTAGCATGTGTTTTGTCACCTGCTGCTTTTTCTTCTGTGTTGGCTGGCTGTGTACAACTCACATTTAAGATATTTGTATAGCACCAGAAGCTATTGAACAGTTAGTCTTTGTGATTTCAGTGGATGATGCATTTCTCAAGTTTTGGCAAAGCACAAAGGATAAAAAATCGTCATGTACCTGCAGCCAGGTATATGCATCACTGCACTGTGATGTTCTTGGACCCTGCATGCTCAGCAGAGCCCAGCTGGGTGGAATACTGCCCGGGAACTCTGCCCTGCTGCTGCTGCTGCTGATCATCCTGTTCTGCTTTGCCTTGTGCTGAGTGAAATAAGCCTACTCTGGAATGAATGAGGATGAGGGCTCTGTGCAAATAAGGGTGATTAAAAGGGATTCCTCATCAGAACTGGAGTGACAGACTACCTTATGTCTCTGGGAACAGCCTGGGCGTTTGTGTTTTCAGGTGAAACGCAGACTGAAACTGATTCTCCATCACTTGTGGTCTTCAAAGGTCTCTGCACCTTTTGCAAAAGAAAGGGTTTTTCCAACTCATTGCCTAGGTAGAATTCCAACTGGGAGTTTTCACATTCTTCTTGCTTTAATTTCCCTGACAATTCTGTCAAGATGTTCATCAATCCCTGCCCTGGGAGCACAGCTGCTTCTCATCCCAGAGCTCATGGAGTTTCAGTGGTAGATAAAGAATATCTAGAAATGGCTGTCTAGCACCCTTGTAGGCATGACAGGGAACCTGCCCTGGCCTCCAGCTGCTGCTCCAGAAGGATGTAGGACTCTCTGTATCACATCTGCCAGCTGCATGTAGATATTTTGGATACATTAGGTTATCGCAAATGGTGTAGACAATATGACATGTCGCAAGCACATTTAGGTGGGTAGGTTGTGAGGCATTTTGGGGTGCCACTGACGTTAAAGTGATCTACAGTGGTACGCTGTTCTTTGACTGGATCCTGACTCTGGAGCTTGGCAGGTGTGCCAACACCATTGCCCACCTTATTGGCTCATTTGAAACGGCTACTCTGATCTACAGCTTCATTTAGAGCAGCCAGGCAGCTAGTGCCAGCGTTGCTTGTCCTCAGAGGTGGAATAGGTTATTCAAACAGTCATAGCATAGTGTGATACTGGTAAACATAAAGCATACTTGTTTTCTGATTTGTTATTCAAAGCCAAGCCATAGAAGTGGTGTTTTGGGTTTGTGTGGTGGGGTTTTGGTAGCGGAGTAGGGTCCGCAGGGCCAGCTCCTGGGAGAAGCTGCTCGAAGCTCCCCCGGCTCCAAGCTGGACCCGCCTCTGACCCAGGCCGAGCCCCTCAGCGACGGCGGTAACACCTCTGGGAGAACAGATTTCAGAAGGGGAATGCCCCGAGAGTCAGGGGAGTAGGACGTGAGAGGAACCCCTCTGTGGATCCCGAGGTCAGGGAAGGAAGAGGGGATGCCCCCGCAGCCCGCGGTGAGGTGGCAGGCTGTCCCCACCAGCCCACGGAGGGGAGCGGGGGAGCAGATATCTACCTGCAGCCCATGGTGGACCCCACACCAGAGCAGGGGGAAGCCTTCCAAAATAGCTGTGACTCCATGGGAAAGCCTGCGCTGGAGCAGTCTGTGCCTGAAGGACTGCAGCCCATGGAAGGGACCCACGCTGGAGCAGTTCGTGAAGAACTGCAGTCTGTGGGAAGGACCCATGTCAGAGAAGTTCATGGAGAACTTCTTCCTGTGCTGGAGCAGGGGAAGAGTGAGGAGTCCTCCCCCTGAGGAGGAAGGAGCAGCAGAGACAACGTGCGATGAACTGACCACAACCCCCATTCTCTGGAGGTAGAGAAAATCAAAACTGGGAATGGAGTTGAGCCCGGGAAGGAGGGAGGGGTGAGGGAAGGTGTTTTAAGATTTGGGTTTAGTTCTTATTATCCTGTTTTGATTTGATTGGTAGTAAATGAAATTGATTTTGGTTTTTTTTCCCCAAGTTGAGTCTGTTTTTTGCCTGTGACCATAATTAGTAAGTGATCCCTCCCTGTGCTTGTGTTGACCCATGAGCTTTTCTTTAGATTTTCTCCTCCCCATCCCACCAGGATGGGGGAGGAGTGAGCGAGCGGCTTTGTGGTGCTTTGTTGCCAGCTGGGCTTAAACCACAACAAGTAGGCAAAAGCTGTCTGCCCAACTTGGAAATGGATAAGCTCTGTTTATTTGTATAACATTATGTTACAGCACTATTAAGGGAGTGGGCAGAATGCACCTTTATATTCCTCTGAAGGGTAATTGATCTTGGTATGCCCGAATAACCCAAAAATGCAGACATAGAATCACCAGTTAACCTTTGCAGGGTTATACCAACACTGTCGGTGCTCTGTGTTTTTCTTTCTAGCTTACAGCATAAGGACACCTTTTAGCTGCTTGCCTGTGGAGTACCAAAGGTGTGAGGCGGGTTAGTGAAGGGGTTGCCAAACTCCACCACCTTTACCAAAGAGTAGCATAGTACCTCTGCCTTCACTGGCCTGGATCTCCTAGGAACTAGACAAGTTCTGCCAACTGGACAACTGTTGCCTTTGCACCTTTGGACTTGGCAAAATTTTAATATAGTTCAAAATCAGGAAGATGGTAACTGAAGCTCTGTCAGGGGTCCTGGGGTAACGTCCACAATTTGCATGTGTGCCTTCACTTTTCTGAAGGATTACAGTATGTCCTTCCTGTAAGGGTGTCATCAATCCTCTTCCTTTAAATAAGACTTAGAAACTATGCCTTTCGTGAGCCATTCAGCACAGGACAACGACCTAGTCGTACAATTTAATATGACTTAATCTTGCATGCAGTTTTCGTGGAGTTTTATCACTTTTTTTTCTCTAGATGAAAGTGCTAATAGTTGAGACTGTAGTCACCAACATTACTATTGTGACTGATTCTCTCCAGCTTTGATTGGATTTGTGTGGCCAGATTTCCTTATCGCTACTATTAAGCATTTGATCTGATGGTAAATACTTGTTCAACTGAACATAAAATATGCTTGCTTATCCAGAAGCTTTACATTCACAGAAAGGAATGATAATTTGCTAATTATTCTCACTTTTTTAACACTCCTTATGCTGTTCAGCTATTTAATGATTTTTTTTCTTTTAATCTGTACAATTAACTGAAATATAATGGCAAGAGTAATCGCTGTAGGAACGCTTGGAAAGTCAGGACAGAGCTGTGCAGGATGCTTGTAAAGAAATACATCCAAATCAGGAATTACAAAGCAGTCAAGGAAATGAAAGATTTTGGAGAAAGCCCTCAGCAGCAGCAGGGGCTGCAACTACAACTCTTCAGGGAAACAGGAGGTGGGAAAAGTAGAAGAAAACCAGGGACCTCTCCACAGTTGTCTGCAAGGTAACATTAAGAGGGACACAATGGGAGACTGCTGCCACTCCGGACTGCTGCATCTCTTAGATGCAGAGAGGTAAAGGGTCTGCCAAAAAAAGGAGAAAGGGACATGGGAGGCATGTAGGAAGGTCAGAAAGTTCCTTGCCAAAATAGATTGCCTAAAATGGATCCCCAAATATGCTTCGAAGAGCAGCAATGCAGAAGGAATGAATCATGCCTTCCATGTCGCTGCTGCTGTATGTGGTTCAGGGGCCTGAATCCATCCTGCAGCATTTCTTGTCCTGGAGGTAGTTGTCACAGGCTTGTGGGGAAAAGTTGTAGCAGCAAATTCTACAAACGACAGTTTTCCTCCAGTCTGCTAAATGAGCTAACATCATTTCTTCTGGCACTTTTTACTTTCCAGGTGAAGTTTAATCTTAGCCTGTCACTCGGAGCTTTTGCTTAAAATGCCAGTCAGAAAAATACAGTCAAATTTTGCTCTCTGTCTCTTTCTGTATAGAATTGAAGTTGTACAAAATAGACCTATATTTAAGTGGCTTACGGTAAATGTAAGGAAGAGAGAACAATTTTCAGAGTAATTTCAAATTGAGCCATAGGATAAAACACCCAGATATTTAGTATTCAAAATGGCATATTAAGCAAGAAAATAGGCCATTATATAACTTATTTTATTTCTCTTCTAACAGGTGTTGGAAGATCATGGCATGCCAGTGGATGACAGTCAATTTAATCTAGTAACAGAAAAGTTAGGGTTACCAGATGGAGGGTTGAGTTATCTGGATTTTGTGGCAACACTGGCAGGTAAAGCAATTTTAACAGCAATAAACCATGAAACAAACCTTTCCTGGAAAATCCAGAACTTTTCTCTTTCGAGAAAAGGCTATTGGTAAAATCAGGAAGATATCAGTGATATGATTTTTAGCACGTGGATGACCTTCCCATCTGTAGTTCTTTGACTCCTGATCCAGCTGAGCTGCTGAGTAGCTAATTCAGGACAAGAGGAAAACTGGAACATGTGGGCTGTGAACTAACTAAAGGTCCACAGAGAGGTGCCATGGAGTTGTCACTAACAGTTTGCAAAAAATAACTGACTGATTGCTCTGCCTTGAGTAGATCCTTGTCCTCAGCATCTGTAACTCTTATTCACAGTCTTGGAATTATCCTAAATTCCAGTGGATGATTTTATAGTAGTGATGTCCAGCAACTTCTTCTATTCTGTGTAAAAAGCCAGAAGACAGTAACTAGTCCTTTCAGGAAAGAAGGATCTGTTAGTAAGCCATTAGTGATGAGTTTCAGTGGCAGTATATACAACTGGAGCCCTGTGGTGTGATCTGGTTATTTATTGGTTTATGGTTTTAATTTAAAGTACTGCTTTTGAACGTTAAAGCTCCTAAGGGACATTGCTACTAGAGAATGCTGAAATGTGGTTATCTATAAAGTAATTGATAGTTTTATTAGAGTATCAAGAATCCCAGTGAGAGAGCAAGGTTTACTGTTTGTGCAGATATAGATGTATTGTCCACCCATATAATGAGGATGTGGTCTTCATTGATTTACTGTTGCTGAGGAATGAATACCAGAGGAATATATTTGTAATTTGGGAGCACATTTTGTCACCTCAGCTACTTGCCTTAACCCATCAGTAATTTCACTGATTTCAAGGTACTGTAAGTAAGGGGTTTGATTTTCAGCTCAAAAATTCAACTGATGGAATCTGAACTCATTTCTTAGGGTGGAACCCTGAGTGCAGACTAAAGCTAGTAAGTAATTATTCATTTCTCATTTCTTTTATATTTATGCCGTAAGTCTAGATTTTGTGGGTAAAATTCTGATGCCACTGAAGTCAATGGCAGTTTTGCCCTTGGCTTCAAGGCCTGTTTTAACTTCTGCATTATGCCTCTGTTATTTTTCTCAGAGGTGCGCATTTACTTTTTTCACACTGTTACTATTCTTTTCTGCTGTCATTATTTCTCTTCTAGAACTAAGACAAGAAGGAGAACTTACTTGTGGCTGGCTGACATAATATTCAGGTTTTTCTTCATTCAGGCCTAGAAGTTTAGAAGTTTGTGAATATAGCCAGCTAACTATCTGTCCACCAAAATATGTGCGCCTTCATCCAGTAGCCTAATAAAACACGTTTGAAACAGGTTAACCTCGGGGAAAATGAGTGTGCCAGCTCTTTGATTTAAATCAAGAATCAACAGTGTTTTGTCTGTATTTAAAGCTTTTGCTTTTGCCAATTATGAGAATCACAACTTTTCTTTCCATACGTTACTATATCTCATAGTTGGAAAAGGAAGCGTGACTCACACTTAACACAAAGTAAGTATCAGAAACCAGAAGGCAAAGAAAAAACCCTCCTAACTTTTATTTTTCAATGATTTGTGATTCACTGGGGTGGAGGGTGGTCTGTAGTTACAGAAAAAGAGACCTGATTTTCTTCTTATAAGCTTTAGTGGGAAGACAACACAAATATAAATTTTCTTGGCTAGACTTCGGTAGAAACTGGAATTGAAAAAAGGGAAGGATAGTGCATGTCTGTAGGGGGAGTAGGATTTAAAGGGTAAAATTAGGAGAAGTTAAAATGATGCAGTGAATACTATTTAGTGATTCTTTGGAGTAGTTGTACAGGCTCTTATGTGTCGGTATATGTAAATCTTTTTAAAAGAAAAGAAACGTTCCTTTAGAACAGACCACTAACAGCATTTTTCTTATCAATCAGGAGTAGGGTGTAGTGAAATGTCAGTGAGTACATTCTTCTTTGCAGGTTTTTCCCATTTTAAAATCTGACATGAATTACTTTACTCCTCTATATGGCTCATATGTTGCAGAAAAATTGTAAAATGTTCAAGAGGCTACAAAAGATGCTTGGTCTCTTTTTCCCCGGAAGGAAGGCAAAATAGGTTCCTAGAGTATCACTGCACAACGAGAAGAAGGAATCAGATCTGGAACAGTGACCAAAATAGCTTTTCTATGGCCTAAAAGTAGTTTAGCCCTTCAGAACTGGAAGTACACGGGTGCCCTGCTGGGAAGCTGGCTGTCGCCCTTTCCTGGTCCTGCTGGGCTGTGGTATAATAAACTTCTGACAATATGAAGCTGCTGTTTGTGCAGGACTGAGTCTTGCCAGAACAGAACATTAGGCGAAATAGTTTCAGGGATGATGCTTTGTTAAGTCAGGAGTGTTTTGATGGCAGATCTCCTGAAATAGCTCGCGTCGGTTCAAACGGGAGGAGAGCTAAGCCAGGATAGAATTGCTCCAGGGGAGATGGTCTAGTGTGGAGCGATCGTGCTACACAGTCAAAGATGTAACAAATTACTTTCTCTGACACTGTCTGCAGCTCCTGTGTTCCCTCACTGAGACAGACGGGCGATATGACAACAAGTCACAGCTTTCACGGTGCTCCTTTCCTCCTCCTCCGGTCTGATACCTCCCTTCCTCAAAGCAGCCAGACACCAGAGAAGGCTAAGGCAAAGAAAAAGACTTTGTTTCAGCTGTGCTTTCTTCAGCTGAGATTATCTTTGCCTTGTGCTGGGAAAACTATAGCAGCTGAGGCCATTACTGTAAATTGAGTGGACACCACTAATGCTTCATACAGCTATTGGACTTAGTCATGTTTGGGGTGTAAAGAATATGGTTGCAGGGTTTCTTGTTTTGTTTATGTTACATTACTGCGCTATTTATCAGATATGTTTAATATAATCTTTTCAATGTTTGCTATAATTTGATTTCGTTATTGCAGATGCCAGATTGAATGGGCCGGGAGCTACATTACGTAACAGTCCAAACCACAGAGTAAATGATGCTAAATATCACTACATGACTGCTGAAGAGTGTCTCAATCAACTTAATGATAAGCTGATGGAAGTCTATGAGATAAACACATTGAGCCATGGTTTGCTTTGGCAGTGAAGCTGGTTGTTATTTTGATATAAACATTTGTTTTAAAAGTTGGTTTGGAGGAGCTGTCAGGAAAGTGACTCTAAAAATTATGTTGGATTTCATGTCTTCTGTCTTCTCAGAAACGTCCAGTTCAAATACTTTCAGTTTTCAAGGCAAAAACTTTTTTTTTCTAGTTGTCTTCTCAGCAGCCTCTGCCAGGAAAATAAGATCTGAGTTATTTATTTCCCATCCTTTTGTGAGCATAGCTATTAAAGATTCTGCAATTAGAAAAGAATAACTGTACTACTCATTCATGGAACAGTCCATCTAATCATGAGAATGATCTTTCAAGATGACGTTCTTAGTCCCTAAATCTTGCAACACAGTGGTCTTAATAAAGAGTTGTTTCCCAGCTTTTCTGTGTTTGTTTATTGTTTTCTGTAATTACCATTAGAACGTATTCCTTGAATTCCCTCCATGGATATGCACAGAGTAAGAGAGATCACATTTTACAAAGGAAAGAAGCCACAGTCATTACCCTTTTGCTCAGTTCATCCCATCCCATCCCTGTTCCCTGGGAGAAGTGGAAAGATCAGCATTCAGGAAACTGATCCTCTGTTCAAACCAGCTTGGACACACCTAGCAAAGCTGATCATATTGATCATAATTACTTCAGATTTCTGAAGAACTGCACCATTTTAAAGGTGTTTGAACATTTTGCATCTATTTTAACGGGAGAAGCTGTTCAGCTGGTAGAACAATTGCTGTAAAATCTCTCTTCATTACAGGTTTTTCTAAGGGTGTGCATGAGTAGAAATGAGGTACCTCGCAGTATAGTACCGATGGAAGGTAGAAGTTAATTTGTAAATTGATATGGGGGTGGCTTTTTGATGCTCCCTACTTTTGTTCAGTTCTGTACATGCTTGAGATCAAAGCAATAAGACTGCAGTTTACTGCAGACTATACCAAGTGTTTAGTAAGGCAGTACTATATAAACGCTTTGTATTCTCAAACTGCTTTAAAATATTTGCCTGTTGTCAAAACAAGTCTAGAGCAATCATTTGTTATTTATGTTTCAAAATATGTTAAATATATTTAGTAAAATATTCCTTGTTAGGACACCTATTCTGTCTTCCATGAAACAGACAGTAATCATGACAGTATCATCAACTTGCTTGACTTTCGGCAATTCTTGGACAGCTTTCTGCTTCATCTTAGAGATGAGGAATTCCTGCGCCTGCTTGGTTTGTTGGGAATGAACGTGACCTCCAGGTTAAATTAGCAAGCATTCTGTCAACGGTTCCACACCCAAGAAACTAAGGAGGTACCTCCTCGGCTCACGCCATCTCAAAAGTAAGAAAGAAAACATTGTGTGGTACCTACAGTAATCTTATATGTTTACAGAAATGAATATGTTGTCTGAAAATTTATATTAGATATAATTGAAAAAAGATACTATTGAAATATGTCTTTATCAAGCTGAAGTTGGGTAGCTTTACCAAATTCTCAGTGATTTATGACTCCATTAAATCAGATATTGAATCCACCACTAGGTTAGAATGCCAGAACTACCCCTGGGGACTGCTTAAATCTGTAAGGTCAAACATATATACTGGTGCCTGAGTTGGAGCCTTAGAGGTGAGCTAGCCTCCAAACTGGACAACTTTGCTGCATCTTCCACGCATGCGGAACTGGGGATATGGTTTGGGAATCAGATGTCATTTGGGATTGAGGAGCTGCCAGGTTATTACCCGTTTGGCACAGTGTCTGTCAGTTCTGAGACTAATATTGTTGTTAGTGAACATTACAGTAGCCCGAAGCCTCCTGCTCCAGACCTTTATGGCACCAGGGCACTGAGAGCAGACGAGGTCAGGTGAGGTGCACAGCAGCATTGGGGCACCGTGGAGCTGGTGGAGGGTAGGGAGAACAGTGCTGCTACCTCCCTTCCTGCGAGAAGCGATGCTACTTGAAACGTCTGGAATTTTAAAGTTTGAGCTTAACTTTAACGATAATTGGCATTTAGCCACTAAAAAATTCATTCTAAAAACTCAGTGTGAAACTCTGTTTAACTATGCAAACACAGATAAATTCATAAAAATAATGACAAGATACAGCAGGACTGAAAAAGCTCCTGATCAGCAGCTCATCTCTGCTGCGGCAGTGAAGATGTGATATATACACATAGGCTTATTTCCCAGTTTTTATTTGTCTCTTACAGCATTACTGTTGGCTCTGATATTAGTAATATTTATCTGCTTGGTTTGTTTTTTCCTGAGTTGGACGACTGAGTGAATCAGGGACATCACTCTAAAGCAAGAAAGGAAACTGATCGTGACTGAGTCTTGCTAACAGTTGGAGTCAGAGACTGTTACTGTTGTGCTCTCATTTCTGTTTCAGTTTGGACTTAGCTAGAAACTGAAACATTTTGAATTTAGCTCCAGAATTTCCTCGTTTCAAATACTATTACTGTTTCAGAAGTCCAGCAAAGAAAATACAGTGATTGAAAGCCTTAAGAGCACCTGCGTTTTCCCAGCTAAATTTTTAGACCATTTTTTGTTGGTCAATTGTTTAGGCTTATGCAATCTTCTCTCAAGCAGTGGGAATGGGGAAAACTCAGAAGGTTCCTAGGCACCTAAAACAGATTAATGTGGCATTCATGTTTCTAAATCCAAACGGAGCCCTCAGCAAAGGCTGTCAAGGCCCAGAGCCCCAGGAGCTCAGAAGTGGCAGAGCTGACTGTGGTGCAGTTCTCCAGGACTTAAGCTCTGGTGTGCACATACCACAGGTGGTACGGAACTCAGTGGGTAGGTCAGATGTAGTGACCACGTCTCACCTGGTCTGCAGACCCAATATTCCTCTCCCTCTTGTTTGAGAACCTTGGTCCAGGGAGCGTATTCCTGCAGTGCGGCTGAACCGGGCTCTGAAGCTGCATGTCTGCAGCATTTCCTCACAAAAACTTCAAAGGATGGTGAGACATAAGATCCCCTCGATTCTCGGGTACGTGTGTCCTTGCACAGCACACAGATTTAGTCAGCTTTCTGTGTAGTGCTACAGCTATGCTGGATCCTAATCCGAGGCACCCATATTCCTCTGCATGCTTGGATTCAGCCAGGCCCCCAAAAGTTAGGCACTTGTGGCTGAATTTGCAAATGTGGGTCTTACTCACCAGACTTACTAGCCATGCCTTGGTGACTTACAAAGACAGTTTTGATCTACGTTATTGCTGTAAATCAAGGATAATCTTCCTGGAATCACTCCAGGATGTAATTGTTTCTGAGATAATTAACATTTCCTTCTATGCGTATAAATGATCCATGCTGGCTCTTGAGTTTGAGGGAGAATTGAACAACATTGATTTGAAAATAAATAGGGAATTACAAAATTTAAAATATCTTCGCTAACCTGCAGCTAGGGAAATAAGGCAGTATTTAAAGAATTACGTTTACACAGATGTGAAGTAACAGTCTTTAATGGGTATCTTAGAAACTAGGAAACAAAACCACCACTACCATGAAGAACAATAAAAAGGAAGGAAACTTGTGGAGATTAAAGATCCCAGTAACGTAAAACATAGCTATTCGTTATTCTATTTTTTTTTTCTTTTCTTAGAAAAAAACAGATGATAACGGATGCAGAGCTAGCTTGTGATCACGCTCATTACTACCTTGTTATCAAAGCAAGAACCAGATGGCATGACCTAGCAAGGGTAAGAAGAATGTTTTCTTTAAATAAATAAGCAGCACTAATAGATTTCAGAACATTATGCAATGTTGATCTTCTGATTCTATAAATATTCAGAGACCCTTGCAAAATAGCTCATTAATGATAAAAACTTACTATGTGATTAAAAAATCAACAGTTTGAATAATACTCAGTTTTTGTAACATTGATTATGTAGTAGGTGCTATTAAACTTATTTCTAAAACTGTCTTCATATTTTACTATTGTTGGTTTTATTTAATGGTTCTGTTGTAAGAGCAGTAATGAGCTTCATCTGAGGCCTGTCTGCCTACGCGCTGTACGCAGACACGCACCTACTCCTGTGCTGACACCCAGTGTTGCCCAACACAGTGAAGCGTTGACTGCGATGCTTACGCCATCCAAAGAGACTCTCACAAAACTGTCCTATAAAAATTATTGCTACTTTTTTATCTTAACTTGTTGAATAGTTGCAATATTTGGACAACAGCGTAGCACAAAGAAAAATGAATGTAATATTTTCATTAAATGTTTGCATAAATCAGACAATAGTACTGCTAGTCTCAGTTTGCAAGATGAATGGTAAAAAAACCAACAAACCCAACCAACTGACCTAAACACAAAGCAGAATCAAATTCATATTGGGTATAGAACAATTTGGGGAGCAAATCTGAGCGTCTGCCATTTTCCAGTGCCTTCATCTTCCACTGGCAAGCTTCAGCAGTGGGCATACCCGCAGCTGCAGGCACACATCTCTTGCTCATATCTCCTGTGTTTGCCATCAGTAAGAAACTTTCCACACAGAGGGCATCATCACCTGAACACCTGTAATGTCAATCCTGATTCAAGCTTTTGAGAGCTGCACATCCATAGTGGAAAGTAGGAAACAGTAAAAATCAAATGAAAAAACATCAAAAGGTGAAATTCAGACGTGCATGATTTTCCATTCCTTTCTCAATTCCCATTATTCATTAAGCTTATAGAGAGATCAAATATTTTGTCAAACTTGTTGATTCCTGTTAGTGATGATTTCTTTTACATTCCAGAATTTTCAGGAATTTGACAGTGAAGGAAATGGCATTAAACAGCCGAGGGACTTGAAGAAAGTCTTGTTCAGATTTGGCATTCCAATCACCCTGGAAGAATTTAAGCAGCTTTGGGCAAGGTATGACAACTCTAAATGATTAGCTTTTGCAATAATGTATCTTTTATAGGATTACAGAGCCTTTGGTAGTGCAGCAAATGACAGTCCATTACACTGCACAAGGAATCTTTTATTTTGTTACGATTGTGACCTCAGATCATGACCCTGTGTTAGAGGTGGCTACATCTTATTATACGAAGTTCAAGAATGCAGTTAGGTCCATCAGTTTCCAATGAATTCAAAGATAGGACTTTCTCTTGGCTTCAGTATTACCGATCCCTTTAATTTAATGTGCATTTTCTTCTTGGACAGCAGGCACCTGAGGTCACTGGTTAAAGTAACTTGGTTTTCATCAATTTTGTTTGTACACACAAACGCCTACCTCAGTTTGTGATGGTGAAAGTCAGTTCCAGGTGTCTCAGGTCAGGTGGGAACTGCAGACAAAGCTCCCACAGAAAAGGTCCGTGGACAGTCCGCATCGCGTACCCAGCTGAAGGCAGTGCTACCAACGTCTCCTTTTCAGAGCACTACATTTACTTGCAATATTTTCTACCCAAATAAAAGTGACTCAGTCAAAAGAAAAATGCTACATACCAAACACATAACAAAAGAAAGTAAGGTAATTTCATGCTGTGTAAAGATGGCAAATAATATCGTGAAATGTTTTTGTAGACAAGTAATTTGTTGTGAAGTGGGGGAAAATACTTGTCTGCCTTCCACAAAGAAGAGCTGTGCTATAAACTGTGTTTGAAATGGCATAGATGTCAGCTATATGTGACATTAGATAAAAAGCTACCTTCATTACAGGTCTATTTAAAAAAATAATCACTCTGTCTAACATATAGAACCTGAGTGTATTGCATTTTGGTTTGAAACTGCATTAACTATATAGATTTTTCTTAGCACTGATTCATCTCTGACTAATTTTCTACTCCATTAGATTTTACTTTCCATTCTTATTCCTTATGGATGCCACGGCACATTGAAGAGTATCCTTTTCAAGCAGTTATCTGCTGCACAACTTCACTCCCATCAGCCACTCCTTTTATAGAATAGCTAAAATTTCTTACGTGCCTGATATGACTGTAACTTGAATAAAGGAATTAGAGTGAAGCTGAGGCTAAATTAGGAATTACCATGCACCGGAGCACTAGCAGGGGGAGAAACTGCAGGGAAAAAAAGCCTATGGAAGGTTTTATACCTAAGAAAATATGAAAAGTGTTTATGAAGCTAAATCTATGTTTCTGAAGGATGACTACAATGCTCAGCATCTCAGACTTGTGTGACCAGTTTGAGACACTTGAGACTGGAATTTTAGGAGCCCAGCTCTCTGCATCTCAAGCCAGACACTAAAAGGCAGCAGTACGGAGAGCTGGAGAATACTCCTGACAATTTGGTCCTCAGGGTAGTATTTGCAGAATCGACTCTGTGATTACAATGCATAAGCCCTATCTTTCGAGTCTCATACAAAGTCACTCATTCTCAGTGTGGTGTGACACCTCTGTAAGGAAGGGAAGTCAGTGAGATTTAAGCTGTTAAGTCACTTAAGGACATCTGTAATGCCTTTCTATGAGGAACACATGAATATTTAAAAAGAGCATTTCTTTTTCAAGGTATGATGCAGATGCAAAAGGATATCTTACTCACCAAGAATTTTTACAGAAACCAGGGATAGAGTTTGCACCCGCTGACACAGGGCTCAGCAGACACATCATGGAAGAAATCTATGCATATTTACAAGCACATTATAATAATCAACAAAAGAAGCATTCAAAGCTGGAAGAGCAGCAGAAATGGCAAACTAAAGCTCTGCATGTGAGAGAAATTAAAAAGCAGATCAAGTAAGTTAGTTATGAGCTTAGCATATAACTTTCTATGTTTGCGTTTAGTTTGTTAAGATGACACTGTGTACAATACAAATGTAATTTAAAAAAAAAAGGCTCTGAAAAGGAATCTCAGAAGGTACTGGACCAGCTTATCCATAGTGTTATTCCCTTGATTTGCTGGAGATAAGCCTACCTCAGTGTGCACTGTGATACTTTTTTTACAGATACTCTCCATGGCTTATATTACTTATTTTACAGATTTATGGCAGCATCTATACTGACAAATCAGAATGTCCAGAAACATTCCCAGACTCAGTCATCTATGCTGCTAGACTGCCAAAACAGTCCTCATCATGCTTTGGCCTGTGTCAGCTAACGTTTTCTCTGATCAGTCCCAGCACCGTTTGGGAGCAAGAATGCTTCAAGGACCATTCCTAACAAGCAGTTTGCAGGCAGCTGCTCCCTTTTGGTGGCTAAGAAGGTTCACTCTGTGCCTGGAGCACTCCCTGGCCTTTTTATTGGTATCGTCCCAGCTTGTGGTTCCAGTCCTAACACTACTATCAGCTCACATTGAGGGAGAAGAGCAAGTGCAGTTTTGTCAACCTGTGGGTCTCATCTCAGACTGTTTCAGGCAACGTAGACTTAGACCTACCTGATTACGCTCAACGGGGGCTTTTCTTGCAGCTGGACTGAGGGGGCGTGTAGGACACAGTGGTCCCATATCCTACCCTGTCCCTTGGATGAGGGCCAAGTAGCAAACACGGTTGGTTTCACATCCCTCCAGCAGCTAGTTAAATTGTTAGTAAATGGCTTTGTAGATGCAGCAAAAAACAGCCTTGACAAAGATGGACCTTGGCTCCATATGACAGAAATAAGCATCTTGTCTTCAAGCAAGAGGAGTCTCTGCCTCAGAGAAAATCAACACTCATAGAGTTAATAGGTCATTGCTCCTGAGAAGAGCATTTGACAAACAAATGCCAAAATGATACCCTACTCGGAGTGGAGACTAATGATCCATGCTTGCCCTAGTGAGTCAGCAGTGATTAACCTGCTGCTGCTACAGGGTTCCTGCACCTGCCAGCAGATTGAGGCAGCGGGAGAATCCTCTGCCCCGGTACAATGCTGTTAAAACTTTATATTTCCAGGTTGTGGATAGACACCACCTGGATGCTTACCATGTTTTCTGCTTGTGCTTTCATTCTTCTCCTGAACTGTTTGTTTGTTTATGTGTTTATTTATTTATTTGTTTATGAGTATAAACCCTCAGGAGCAAAAAACTTGTAAAAATATACCCCCAAGAGCACAGATTTGCTTTCTTTTGTGCTTGGAAAGTGTCTGGAAGTTGTAGGAACTAATAAATTATTATTGATAAGAATGATAATTCCCCATGACGTTGTTGGTAAAGGTGATACACTCATAAACAAAGAAGAGCAGCCTTGTCTTGCAGATAAAGAGGCAGCTTGGGAAATCATTAGACAAAAAAAAAAAAACCAACCCAAAAACAAAAACAGAGAGAGAAGCTTGTAAGCTAAGGCTTTTGCCTTTTCACCCTGCTGGTTTTTTTAGATTCTGTTTTTCAGTATCCCAAATAAGCTGAAGGAATCAAGGGCAAAATTGTCCTTTCTTTTCAGCATCACAGCTCTCCCACCTGCATTGCAGCTTTCTGGCATAAACTGCACTTATGACACCCAAAGGTATCAACAAGCATTCCACCTGTAAAAAATTGCAAAATATACAGCAGAGATGGTTAGGCAGCTGCTGTGTTGTAGGCATTGCTTACTGCTGTATTTGTAACTGTCTGACGTGAAACTTTGGCCCTAACTCTTTCATACTGGGCTGTTCTACTCCATTTGTTGTACCAGCCAGTTGTCTCTAGTCTTAGACTTGGATGAAGAGTTATTTTGGTCAGGGACCTTCTATTTCTTTCCTGTTAGTGCAATGCCAAATGCAAGGCAGCCCTGCCTCCAATGCTATAAATAAGAAGCAGCTCTGCAAGTAGGGAAGATGCTGTGTTGCAAGCAGGAATTATGCAGTGTGGCTCAAAGATGCAAATACTCATCCTGAAGCAGCTGGAGAGTAATTAAATCAATGGGGAAGACATGCCGGGTAAAAATAAAATAGTCATGATGTGACATGCTGGCAGGTCCATATCATTTAGAATTATTTACTTTTGAGAACCTACCACAACAACAACTATGTCTACAACTATGTATATGGTAACTATACACACAAATACATACAGATAAGTGCATAGCGATTGCTTAACCATAATTTGGAGGAAAACAGAAAGTGGCAGGCTGGGTCAAGTGTAACTGGATTCAGTTATCTGCTAGCAACCGGAGCCAGATGTTTCTGGTTGAGGTGGAGCAGCCTTCTAACAGATGGATGTGGAATATTCTGCCCCCTGCACTGGGTCTGTCTCATCCTGGGAAATGATGGGGTTTTGTTTAAGCCTGCAGATGGGACTTTTAATATCCCTTTCAAAAATCATGTTCTAATTATTTGTTAGATTCTGCCTTCTCTTGAGATATATATATATATATAGGACATCCAGTTCTGTTCTCAATCTTTTGAAATTTCTGGCATCTACAGCTTTGTCTGGGAATGAGTTCACAACTTAATCACTGGTGGTCTGCAAATGTCTTGTTATTGATTATTGCCACCTTTCTGTTCCGCTGAATGTTCTCTTTTTGTCTCCCACAAGTCCTCACCCACCTCCTGGCTGGTGGGAGCAGTCCCGCGCCAGCAGTTCCTCCCTGGTTTTCTCTCTTGGAAAGCTGAAAGTGCAAGAGTTGAACCCAGGCCTCTCAACTCCCCAGATTTCACGTAAGGCCCTGGAAAGCCATAAACGACTCTTAAGCCGGCGTCATTGCCAGACGGATGAAACCCCTGGGCGCGGTGGCTGTGAAGGCAGCGATCGGGTCGAACGCCAGCCTTCCGCTCCGGGACCGCGTAAGAGCGCTGAGGTGCGGGAAGCGCGGGTGAGCACCGTGCCCTCCTGCCGCGAAGGTCGGTGTAAGGAGAGCTGCTCCGGGTTGGGAGAACAGATGCGGTGGCTGCACAACTTAGCCACGGTGATCCACGTGGGTCTCAGCCCCCACTTCATTCTCAATGAGTTGGAAAAACGATGCCTTTCACCTGTCAAACTTGGACTGGGAGGACGTATGCCTCAGGTGTGCACTTGTTGGTTATGGGACCCGCTTCAGCACCGCTCCCCCTTCTGCGATCTCGCTTAAGCCCTCTCGTTTCCATTTGCACAGTGGCTGCATCCAGCCTGTGTCCTTTCTTCTGGCTTTCCGCAAGGGCTGCGAACCTCACCCTAACAGCTTTGGAGCAGTTTCAGCGCCCTGTGATTACACACTGTGAGGCAGACAAAAGCTCTGGACATCTTAACAATTCAAAACATACTGCTGTGCACTTTTTTTCCCCTGTTCTGCTTTTGTTGTAACTCACAGGAACAAATCACCCAAATTAGAAACAGACATTGAACAGTGGCTCTCCAGCTCTTCAAGAAAAATACAAAACATTTGCAAGAAAATATTATTTTTTGGCATTGTAACTTGATCTATGGTTTTAATCCTCATTTTCTCCACACACATATTTACTGCTGTGAGCGGAATAATTATGGCTTGGAAATCTTTTATCAGTCCAAAAATGCTGAATGCCTCAATTTTCCAAAAATATGAATCTCAAAACCTGTTTAGATTTTACTTCAGCCTTTACTTTCTTTGGGAAGTTTTAAGTAGAAGATGATAGTGCTGATGAAGAGTGGCACTGAAAGTAACATACAGTTGAAAAGGGTTCCAGAATTTTTCTGCAGTGAGGGTACTACATGGACCATACCACACCTTCAAAGCACACCCTTGCAAGATGGAAGGAGCAGTGCTAAATAGTCTCCTGGGGCTGGAGATCAATCTCTCACTGAAATCACAAACTGCCCTGAGGGTGCTCAGCTGGTTTTGGCCTTTAGGCTGCTGTATCCTGCTTCCGAGGTGTGACTCTCTTGGTCTCTTGCTGGGCCTCAGCACCCATCCTCTTCCACCATTGCCCCTTTGCAATCGCTGTAAAGCCGTGGTGTTTAAGCTATGGCACGTTACAGTAACTCAAAAAAAAAGCAAACCCTCTGTCAGGAGATTTTAGATTTGTGTCTGCTGGAAAGTCTGTAGGCTTCTGAACATAATAAAAGTTAAAACTCAGAGATGTAATTAGCAGATGTTGGATCTCTAGGGTCTCATATCTAAGAGGAGGTTGAACGAGTCTAAGCTGGTTAATCAGTAATTAGATACATGGAGATTCAAGACAGTAAAGCCACCTTGAGTGCAATGCAAGTGCACTCTGACTGATGTGCACCCTCTGCAGCATACTTCTATGCTCTTTCCAATATGAGTCTTGCTTTGAGTGTAAACCAAGTACCACATGGTAACAGGAGCAGACTGTGAAAAAGAGGAAGGAATTAACCAGAAAAAGGAGATTTGAAAGTGAGAGAAAAGGTGATAGCTCTTTAGGGGCTTTTAGAGACTCTAAAACACACTGACAATATTGCCTTTCCCTTGAAAAGATTCACATCATGCTTTGAAACCTATATACAGTGGCTAGATTAATCATAAGGAACCTACAACTATTTTCTGGAATATTACAGGAGTAGGAGCTATCAAAGTGTTTAATGGCATGAAACCAAGCCAGGGTGAAAGGGCAATCCATGCAGCTACGGAAAGTAAGTTGAAGGAATATTGCACTCCCAAAGAAACTTGAACTTTTGAAAGACACAGGTTTCATACAAGAATGCAGAAGGAGGAATCCTTTGAAGAATTTTTGGTTGATCTTAAAAAAAATGGATCAGTCAAGTAGCTATGATGTTTTCAGAGATTCCATTTTAAGGGATCAGATAGCAATTGGCATTTAAGATCCAAAGATACAGAAAAATCCCAGGAAGGTAGGATTAAAAAAAAAAAAAAAGAGAGAGAAAAATCTGTTTAATTGAACTAGGACAGTCATAAGGGACAGTATGGAAATATTAGAAGGGGAGCAGGACATGCTGTCTGTCAGGAAAGGAAACTACGAGAGTTTTGAAGAGACTTTTCAGAGCTACCTGCAAGAAGTAACCAAAGTGAAATATATGAAAATTCACAGATTCATATTATGTCCAGGAGTTTAGAAATTCTGCAGCAGCTATAAGAAATACAGTTATTTTGTGAGACCTTGGAACTGGAAAAGCAGAACCAAAAGAGAATACCCTCCATATCCCCAGATCTATGTGATGGTGCACAAACCAACTATACAACAAAATACACATAGACGTTCTGTGCAAAGGCTGCACAAGGGGGCTGCAGACTTAGCATAAGCACCTCTAAATTCAAAACTGGCGCTCAGTCAATGTGTACCTCCAAGCACACTGTGAAAAATCTGGCTCAGGAATCTGAAGCCATATGAAGAAAGACTATTGAAACTGAGGGTGTCTACCGAGAATCTAATTCCTTCTAAAGGATTGTATGAACTAAAATGAAAAGTGAAGATAAACACAGTAGTTTAAGTTTATAGGCAGAAAGAGATAATATTCGGTCTAAAATATGCGTAGCCCTGGGCTTGGTTAAAGCAGTGAGTCTGATGATGGAACCATAAACACAGGAGATCAGTACCCAGAAATCTTTAGTGTCAGAGATAAAGTAGACACAGAATATAGAGCTGTATTTTCACAGCAATGTGCGCTGCTAGGAACATTCCTCTGGTTGTGAGAGAGAAGCTTGTAAAGGAGCTAGATTATGTAGGAGTAATGGTGGGAAGTTTAAAAATGGAAGAACCAATTAGCAACAACAAGATCAAGACAAGTCACTGAGATTGTTCTTACACCCAACAGGGCTAAGTATATGTTTGAGGACAGACACTGTCCCACAAAGGATGTTTTCAGGTGTCGTGGTTTAATCCCAGGCAGCAGCTAAGCACCACACAGCTGCTCACTCAGTCCCGCCCCTCCTCAGTGGGGTGGGGGAGAGAATCAGGAAAAAGAAGTAAAACTCATGGATTGAGATAAGAACAGCTTAATAGAACAGAAAGGAAGAAAAAAAAAATAATAACAACAATAATAAAATTACAATAATAATAAAAGAATTGGAACATACAAAATAAGTGATGCACAATGCACTTGCTCACCACTCACCGACTGATGCTCAGTTAGTTCCCGAGCAGCGATCCCCACCCCCAGGCCAACTCCCCCCAGTTTATATACTTGCCATGACATTACATGGTATGGAATACCCTGTTGGCCAGTTTGGGTCAGGTACCCTGGCTGTGCCCCCTCCCAACTTCTTGTGCCCCCCCCCCAGCCTTCTTGCTGGCTGGGCATGAGAAGCTGAAAAATCCTTGACTTAGTCTAAACACCACTTAGCAACAACTGAAAACATCAGTGTGTTATCAACATTCTTCTCATACTGAACCCAAAACATAACACTATACCAGCTACTAGGAAGAAAATTAACGCTATCCCAGCCAAAAGCAGGGCATCATGTAAAAGGACTGCATATGTTTTTACAGATATTAATAAATTTTTACAAAAATTACAAATTCAGATTCTTCTGCTGGATCCAAGCAAACTTCCTTGCATGACAGGAGTTTGACAAACACCCTGCATTTTTAGACCACTGTACAGGAGATTCTGCTTTCAAAGACTTCCTTTAGGCTTAAAGTCCATTCTTGAGTTTTCACAGGAAAGTGTAGGAAAAGCCATTCACTTGAAGCAACTGTGGCTACTTAAATAGATACTGAAGATGTCAAGTAGAGAGAAAACCAGTAGGGAATGTGAAAAAAGTATCCAAGAGGGCCTCAGAAGTAGGATTAGACAGAAATGCAAATGTAAGGGCAGAGAAATAACATAAAAGATTAACTGTCACCAAGATAAAACAGAGTCATTACAAATATGCCATCCACAAAGATAACAAAGGTGTCCAGAGGCCTGTTAGCACGTGAATGTTACATGAGCGTTCGTATCGCACAGGCAATCTGTGCAGGTAGCTTTTGAGATACTACACAAAATGGACATACTGGGCTGTAAACCTGGGAAGAGAATTCCCAAATTAAAGGCATGAATAAAGACAACACCTGGCCTTACGTATATTGGCACTAGAAGACAGACAAAGTCTTCAAAAGATGGCTTACAGGAAGTATTGTTAAAAAAATAATCAATGGAAATGTGTGGCCTGTGTCTCTAGGGCACCTGTCAACACCACGATTCGAGGCACAGACCGAGGGAGCAGAGCTCTGGCTCTGCTCTCTGATTGTAAGAAATGTCACATACTTGTTTATTGATCTGTTATGGTCAGTGCCGAGACAAACCACTTTTTGTAGGCAAAAGAAAGACCAGCTTCCAGAATATAAAAATAGTGTGACTTTTAGGTTGTCTTCTTTTTTTAAGGTGAAACCATTCAATCTGACAACAAAGTTTAAGTTGGAGAAGTAATTACTGATCAAAGACATACTTTCTAGAACATTCAAGGAATCTTGAAATCTCTCTTGAAAACAACAGAGAATGACGTAACACCTGGAAATACAGTTTTAAAAAGTATTATTCTATTCCAGAAGAAAGTGGGCTAGGTTTGGGGAGGCTGTACAGAAGATGATGCAATGCAGAAAGTCATGAAGGTTACGTCCTGTGGGGTAGCGAGGGCATTGCATACCAAGCCCACATAACTGATCGGATCCGAGTGTTCTGTGTTTGGCAGCACCCGCTTCAGAGGTAACAGCATAGCGGTGTCAATGTGTTATGACCTAACGTGCCTCACAACGTACGGGACACTCACAAGGCTGCTGAAAAATGTGGAAGAAAAGACCATATGTTGATACATCTGAACCTGTTGGAACTACCTGACTCAGGCATTAGCCTGAAAATGCGTTTGGATTGAATTTAACATCAGAACATGTTACGGCATACATTGATGCTCTATTTGTTTGGGTATGGAGTCCCAGAAATATTGTCTAGCAATGGTGCCCTGTTCAGCAGCTCAGACCTGAAATGATTTGTAAAGAATGAAGGATATCCAGATATGCTGAGTACAATGGTGAGCTGGGCTAAAAATGTTAAAAGATGGTTCGAGCAAGCTGTGAAGCTGAGAAGTGATCCGTACTTTCACTGAACTTGAGAGAAATGTCATTGAAAAATGGTTTCTTGCCAGCTGAAACTTGGTTAAGCAGAGAGTCACGATACTCCCCATTTAGTCCCTATAACAGTGGATCGCACAATGGGTCTGAAGCATATAGTAAATTGCTAACAACCCACGTAAGTCATATCATAATTCACATTTTTTAAGGTAGGTGATGCTGTTTGCATACACAATGGTGTTTCCTGGACCCTGAGGGCTGCGGCGAAATTACTCTTTGTTCATATGAAGTGCAAACTCCAAAAGGACAGATTCTTAGGAGAAACAATTGGCAAGGAAAATGTATTGTTCTTGTAAAGACTGTACTGAACTTACAGCTTCTTGAAAACAAATGGAAAACCAAGGATTCTGCAGTGCTGCGTGAGGAAAGGCAGCACCAGTGACTGGAGCTGAGACCAGAGACCTCTGAAGGGATCCATGAGAGTTTGTAGAGCTCTGAAAAGGCTGACGGAGTGTTGCTAAAAAATATGAATTTAGCATGTCCTGAGTTAGCCTTATAACAACTGATTGCAGGGTATTCATACCAAGGGGAAACGCAAGGCTCGGATGCTGGCTCGTTGGCGGTGGCTTCGCAAGGAGCAGAGCGAGCTGGTCGGAGCCGTTAGATCCACAGACGGGCTCGGTGAGAGGCCACGAATCGTACCTGATTATGCGGGTTACACTGTTCAGGTGCGCTATCGCTGTAATAAGCCTTTTATTCTAAAAATCCTGACTCTCAGGAACCCAGCCTCCGCACTCTGCACCCTGGGGCTGTCAGAAAGAGCAAACCCAAAGCAAATGGAGTGCCACTGGAGGTGTTAGCCCAGACCCAAACCTGTCGGGTTTGCCGTAAGGGTAGCATCTTGTAAGTGCTGAATATATGTAGATAATTTATGTATACTTGGTAATCTACATCAAGACATAGTTTACAACTATTTTAACTTACATTAATCTTAAGCCACTTTGCTAGTTGAAGACATGCAGTAATGAGAGATGTTTGTGCCTGCCTTGTCCTCTTGAGCCAAATTGTGGAGAGGCTTTGGTTAAATCAAGAGGCAGAGGCACATTCCTTGAGTTTCCAAAGTTTGATCAAGAGGTCCCTGATGTCAGTGAAAGGTAAGTGACAACATAAAGTGGGAGGAAGAGTCAAGATTCTGAGGCCTGAATTCAGTCATGTGTAAGAAATGATAAATATCTCAGGTTTTAAGGTGCTGATTTGACGTCCACATAAGTCAGCAGAGCTCTGAACTTCTTTCCATAGGCATGGATCAGGCCCTGCGCTACTCCAGGTTTTGGTCAAGTCTATCTGGTTTTGTTGAAATAGTTGTTCTTACTATGTCAAAGTTTCAGGACCCTCAAATTGCAGAAAGTATGCTGCAACGTTTATCATTTTAATGGCTGTATTAAACATTTTGTAACTCTCATCAGGACAGACTTTAAAAGAAAGAACTTTGTTTTGTATCTGCAATTCTGAACGGGGAGAGTAGCCGGTTAATCACCCAAGTAGCATTTCTTTACAATGGGAGGCCTGAGCTGTGCAATTCCATGTGCAAATTAAATGGGGGAGGGATGTTGGATTTGAGGTTTATTTGTGAACAACTTGGCAGTCTTTGAATAAATTATATGAACTTACCACACACAAATAAGCTCAAAATTTTTCTCTGCCCCTCCACCCCTATTTTGTATATTTGTTTGTATCCTTTTTATCTGATTTAACAAAGGAGCTAAAATAAACATCTGCTCTCTTTCAGGGATAAAATTAGGGATTACTTCCAAGATTTCAATAAGGCCTTTCATAAAGCGGGTAAAAATAGAGATGGCTATGTAACAGTATGTGACCTGCACAGGATACTACAAGAACTCAGCTAGTACCTTAATCACGATCAGTTCAGCAGTCCTCTAAACAGGTTTGTATGATTATCTCCTAAGGACCTCTTTGGTCACACCCAGAAAAGCCCATAAGCTTCTACTTCGTGTGAGGCATATAAGAAGCTCTGGTAAAACTAATGCAGATACTCACATGCTTAAAACTGTATATGTGTGAAAAAATCTTTTTAGGTAAGGTATTGATTCTGCAGGTAATGAGAGTGAAATGGCCTCTTACATAAAAAAAAGTATGCTTTGAGTATGTGTATTTGTTTGCTGGTTTGTTTTATTTAATTAATTTCAATTTAATAGAGCAAGCATGTGAAACAGACCCTGTTCAAAATAGAAATGGAATTAAATCAGGTTATAGAATAGCAATGATTTTCAGATGATCCAATGTTGCTGCTGTGCAAAACTATGCTTTTAATTCTCTGTGTCGCATATGAGTAAGACAAAAAATCTCTTTTGTAGCAGCTGAAGAACACAAAGGACCTGCTCCAACATTAGGTACTGTGGTTCTCTGCCCCAAACAGTCCCCCAAAGGTCATACGCCTGTCAGCAGTGCATTTTGTTTTCCAGAGCCTGCCAGACCAGGCTCTTTTTTGAAATAAAATTAACAAAGTCTTTTCACAGTTCACCTTTAATTGGGTGATCAACTTTTTATGAATTGAAACCTTAATAGGAATCTGCTGCTTGTTTCTTTCTCAAAGACCTCTTGATGATAAACACCTCCATTGATTGTAATTTTGTGCAGATTATTCCGTTCTTGATCCAAAATAGTCTTTTCTAAATAATACAGAGTAGATTAGCATATGCATTTAGTTTTATTACTAAAATTTTAATGCCCACTTGGCAATTTATTTCTCTGCTGAAATGGTGTTGATTATTTCCTTTTCCACATACTGTCTCCAATATTGGAGCCAGCTTGACATGGGTAGTATGTGGGAGTGCTGTGCAGCTGCAAGATGCAAAATCAGGGCTCTTGAATATTTTTTTTTTCTTACTCGCAGATATGGGGTCTATAGTTAATTTCTTTTCCAGCCTGTTTTATAAAGCTTCCTCTTTGTTTTACTGGCTCTCCCCATTAATTAGTCATTCTTGTAACTGGATATTCTGGTGATTGGTAGCTGAGACATTGGTCCCCAGTGATTTACTGTGGAAAAAGATGATAAAAGTACGTTACACTAATTCAGTTTTAAACAAGAAAATCAGGGTTGTGTAGTGGGGCCATCTCCTCTGTCAAGTCTTGGCTCTCTAGGACTTGCCTTGACCATAATTCTAACAAAAAAGCTGAATGCAAGACTAAAAAAAAAGTCCAGCCTTTCCCCTGCAGCATAGGACTTGTTTACCTAATACATATATGTAAAGAATCTATAGTTCTGATAATTGGCTATAAAATTATTAAAGTCTATTAAAAACCTCCCCGTAGATGAAAACTCTGAGGTCAGTCTGAAATAATTCCATGGGAGCCAATAGATCTGTATCAAAATCACCTAATGTATATTGTAGCCTGGAGACTCTCTGATTGTTTTCCAGTGGCAGGAAATTCCACAAACTGAATGCACTGGCTTTATATTGGGTAAGTGAGAGCGGAGCAAGACTCTACTCTTGTATCCCTTGTGGTGATGAACTCTACAGGCTCATTAGACAGGTTTGAAGTCTTTGTTTAAAATATACCAGCTGTTTTTTCATTAAGTGGTCACAAGTCACAGGACATTGGAGGAAAATAGCTTTTCATGTAATGGTTAGTGCTATTCATCTTGTCTTAATCTTTCATGGTAAATAACTTTTATAGTCACATGTTTTCTGCATATGCGAAGCTTGCCTTAATTCCAGTCTTTTTACGGTAAAACATCTTTGAATAAAAATTAATTTAGTTTGGTAACAAAGTCCTCTGCAAAAAAAATTCCCAAATCATATGCAAGAGCTCATCTTTCCCCACGCTGATATTTGATGCAAAAATATATTCACTCTTGTTACCTGGAGCTATCTGTAGTCAGCTCTGTAACCCACTGCATTTCCGATGTGACAGAACATGAAATTCCCCAGTGTCTGTGATCCAGCAGATGTTTCAGCTGACAGACAGAAATTCGGCACGTTGCGAGTGCAGCCTGCAGAGCCCGTGGGCTGGGCCACCAGTCATCCGAAGGGAAACCCTCACCGGACACGGCGCGCCACGAGTCAACGGCGTGGGCCAGCTCTCCGTGCAGCTCAGTGGTCACACCAGAGGAGGAAGGGCCAGCGCCACTGCAGTGAGGCTGAGTCCTGCCAAGAACGGGTGAAACAATTCTCTAGTGGCCTGACAAGCTGCGCAAAGTGAAGTGCAGGTTGAGGGGGAATGTAAGCCTTTCTATCACAAACATAAGGAGAAGCATTGTAGGGAACCTGGTTCGGTTTCCTCCCACGCGGTAGAGAAACCATGAGCGAGCACAGACCTGTGCTGGTACGTCCATGAAAAGTATCACAGAGCTCATATCCTAGCTCATATCTGGTAACGGCTTACCAGGCTGTACGTGGTTCTGCTTCTTTTTCTCAGAATTGTAATGATCGCGACATATTGGGAGGCTTAAGCAGCACTTCAGCATCTGTGAGTCAAAGGTATTTTTGTAAAGCAGAAAGTCGAGGGAACGTACCAGCACCTAGCACAATGAACATCTACTACCGGACAGTCTATTAGACTGTGTTTACGCTGTGACGTGAAACAGAGATTCAGGGACCAGGCTGGGAGCCTACGCGTCCTCCGGCCACGTCGGGGATGGTAAACTCAGCAGTAGATTGTGAGCAAAATACTGTGCTGTGTTTAAAAAGCACAAAGTTAATGCTGACGGACTGGAAGGTTGTACACTTGGGCCCAGGCTAAAGCAGGTCTCTTGAGCATCTGGAGGTTGGCCTAGATCTGTATCTGAGAGTGTGGTCGCATTTAAATGACAGGATTGGTGGCTTAGACCTGAGAAAGAGCTTGGGCTGGAACTAACAGGATTTATACACTGACAGCACAAGCATATCCTGAAGTGCTGCTGCAGTACAGATCATACATCGTAATAATTAATCAGTACAGACAACAGTGAGATAATTATTTAAAATCATTGATATCTCATTCTGTGTTTTTCCCTTAGCTTAGGAATCAGCATTCATGACAGCAAGCTCTCCTATTTTGATTTCCTGAGAGCAATTGATGATGGCAGAGCATCTAAATACCAACAGAGACAAAAGCAGGCTGCACCACCTGCAAGCTTTGCAGCACTCAGCTTAGAACAGACCCTGATTAAGATAAAAGAAATAGTTGCATCATCTTACGATTTGTTGTACAAGGTAAGTTTCATATGGTCACCGCATCTTATTTAATGTCTATTTTTTTCTGCCTCGCTGGGGACCAACCCAAAGGCTTCAAAACTTTTCTGCTATTAATTGAATGCTACCAACAACCTTAGCCTATGTAGAAATAGTGTCTTCTGACAACAGCAGACTTCTTAATTGATTGTATTCTGGTAACTCCACAAAACAAGCATATCAAACCAAGCCTAGAGATTTTCTGAATGTAAGGATTGGAAAGGAAAAAGCAAATAGCAAATTATCAGGACCTTCCTCTCTTCCCCAAACCCCTTTTCCTCCTCCAGTTGTCTGTAAATTGTGTCCCAAGCGTGTAAATATCACACGTCTTTGAAATAGCTCTGTTGAGTTTCCTAAGCTGAGACTTATAATAAGTAGATATAATGTGCTACTGCAGGCAGGCATTATGGTTTTATCAGATGAAAGGATCGTGTAGCAACTGAGGATAAAGACATATGATCAGATGTGAGCACATTATAGTGGCTGCAGAAGTTAGCACCTGTCAGCTGGGGCTCTGCAAGTATCTGCATTTCTGCTCTTGGCCACTTCTGATTCTGACACAGACAGATAAGGTGCATTAGCTGTCGAGCAGCAAGCTTCCTGGTTTCCCACCTGTAAAACGAGAACAATAAAAATAACCACTTCTCTATAGAATTTTGAAAGCCCTGAATGAAAAAATGCTGTATATTAAGTAGTCTTAGACTGTTGTGTCAGAGCCTACTGAAATGTAGCAGCCTCTAGAGTAAATAATTCTTGATGCCACAGTAAGATTATTTTCAAGCATGGGAAAGAATAATCAAAAAGACCTTGAAGGAAACATTGCTACCACAAAGAACCGTAGAGCCATCTCACCTGCACCTGCAGTTTCAGGTCCAGTTTAAGCTCATGGCTCTAGAGGCAGGCTTCTGCCTGCAAAGATGGTCTTGCTACCCCCGTGGCCGCAGCAACGTGGTCCTCCCACCCGCCTTGTGCGAAAACCAGCGCTTGCCTTCCTGCCCAGTGACCCGGGTCAGGCAGCTTCAACCCGAAAAAAGCCTGACCAGTTGTGTGTCACCACGGGAGAGCAGCTGCCCGCACAAGGGAGGGGAAGGGAGGAGAACAGCGGCTGGGAAGACGATGCGGGTAGACATTCCCTGCCATCAATAGCTGCATTTCTGAAATCTCGATCTATGGACTCTGTCCTGCAGTTAAAAATAACACAGGCTTCCAAAAAAGACGTCACTAGTGATGTCACTGGTACCAGCACCCCAAAAAAGTAGTACCATGGGTGGTGCTGTTTCTTTACAGAAATGTCTTTTCACACTCTTTGGAGACTCCTGTGACGTGTAAACTTACTGGGGCCACGTTGCCATTTTTGGCCACATAGACTAACTATAGAACAGGATACTGAAATATTTATATAATCACTTTACATTTTTCATAGTAAGGGGGGAGGAGGGGAAGATCCTTCCTGTGCTCTGCATTATTGAAATTAGGAAATAGATAATGTCAATAGAACAGGTTACTGTTCATTAAATTTTAATAGAAGACAATATCTGTCCTCTCATCCCTGGGTGTCTTGGGAATGGAGAAGGTCACAGTTTTGTCTGCCGAAGGTATGATTTGAAAATGACTTTTGGCATGAACAAATTGTCCATTTAGTTTTTTAGGATACCATTTGGTGGTTAATATAACCTCAGGGACTGGGGGATTTTCTCCATGGAGAGCCAGACTTTGTCCACCATGCCATGGAAAAGCAGAACTATTTCTCATTTCCCTTACAAGAGAAAATAAGGAAGTTCTCAATTTTCTTCTGAGCCATTTTTTGAGTAATACTTGCTGCCACCTATGTGATGGGGGACTCTAATGACATAAGCTTATAACAAAATATTTTGTTAGAAAGAGGCAGATCTGAAAGCAGAGTTCCTAGAGTCCAGCTAGTTGAAAAAAAAACAACTCATCACATCCCATCCACAACATTTCTACAACTGAATACAGACCTTGGAAGTTTCATAACAAATAGTTTAAGAGTTCAGGTGGGTCTTCTCTGTTAGTATAGTAATTTCCCATTAATTTTCACCACTTGGTACAATTCATACTATATACTCAATGCTTTGTTTTTCCCATAAGACTTTCAGCATGTAAGCAAAGATCAAACTTTCATATTAAGAAGTTACAGAATCCTCTTTAGTGTTCAAAGGATCCCTTTCCAATATCCTTTGGATATGGTAGCATTTGTTTTGCCAGTATGGCATGGTCCACGTACATTAAATACACATTTTTAAGTCCATTATTTAGAACCATTCTAATGGTAAAACAAAAATTGCTGTATTATACCAATGTGCTATCGTGTTAGCAGACAAACAGGACTTTAACCTGAAGTTTTGAAAGGTATACTATTCATTCACATTTATGGAATCAGTAATCTATATGTGCAGCATCATAAATAAGGGGCAGAATAAAACAAGGGGACACAGTAAGTTAGTAGCAGCCAGGCTGAATGAGAGTGGATATGACCCACATTTCTAGACCTCGTCGTTCATTTGAACTACTCTCTTGCATGCCTCCTGCTGCAGCTGTGCTAAACCTAATCTGTTTCCCCTGGGAAACCTTTGGAAAACTCCCACGAAGAATAGGCTGGGCATTTTTCACAAAGGAGGATGAGAAGAGAGCAAGTAAGCCTTCAAGATGAGCTGAAGCTAATGAGGATGAAGGACTATCAAGTCCTTTACAGAGTAGAAAACAAACTTGCCCCACCAGGGACAATAATTGGGGGGTGGGAGGCAAAAGGCAAATTAAATATGCTCAGGTGAGTTTAATTTAAAACATTTTAATTTAGGTTATTTAAGGCAGCCCTCAAATATTTTTGTTTGTTTCCTCTCTTGTCTTAGCCACTACCTTTTCTGGAATGTTTGGATACTTGATATAATGCCTTTTTGCTTTTACTGCAGGTTGTTGTTTATTTCTATATTTATATTTACATATGGCACAGAAATACAGGCTATTTTGGGCTTATTTCAACAATTGCATCTCATTTTTAAAAGAAAGGAAATCTTCAAACTGAGTAAGGTTCTGAGAAATGTGTTTTGTTTCTTCATCTGTAAAGTACGTGCAAGTAAAAGGCATATGGCTCTCAGGTATTTCCATGTGAACTGCTAAATGGCTGCTGAAAAAGACTTCTCTTCTGGAATGTCTAGGTTCGCTTAAGTAATTTGTATTCTTGTTTTTCAGGCATTTTCTCTATTTGGTAAAGAAGACACTGGAGTAATTAAAGCACTGGAATTTCAGCAAGTACTTAACAATTTCTGCTTTAAATTATCAGACAAGGTTCTTCTCAAGAACCTTAATCTTTGTGAGGACTCCACAGTAGACTGGAAAGCTTTCCTGAAAAACATAAACCACCTCATAGTGGTAAGAAGAGCTAGCAAGCTATAATGTATTTCTTTAAAAGGTACGATCTGATGTGTTAGAAGTGAGTGACTGACTAACTACGCATGCAAAATTCACGTATATTTCCTTTGAGTCCTGTTGAATTCCATGACGCCCTTATCTCTTTACAAACTGCTCTAAGAAGTTAAGTCTTACATTCATGTAGATTTAGGTCTCTACGTGTAGCAAGCTGAAAACACGACCGCGGATGCAGCCAGATTGCCCCAACTGGACAATGTAGGATGTGGGATATCCAAATACGCTCAGTGATCCCTGAGCTGTCTGGATGGACTGGCAGGGGCTGGGCAAAAAGTGAGTGGAATGGGAAGCCCACCAGGTTCTTGGTGCCAAACAATAATAGCAGCGTAGGTGTAGCAGGAAGGTCAAATGCAGAGGTTAGTCAAGTGCAGAGAAAATCTTGACTGCAGTCATGGATAGAGTCTTCTGATGCTCTGAATATGCCTGTTGCAACAACTCAAATTAAACTAGAGTTGCTGTCTCTCTGTGGCAGAGGTTTGTGTCCCTATTGCCTCATTTGGGGTCGTTCACTTGGTGCAGACTGCAGGAACAGATCCTTTGGTTCATAATCACATCCTTTTATCAGTGCAGCAATCCTTACTATGTTTGTAAATAACAGGAGTATTATGAAAACGTGTAAGTAAAAGATGTCTCTGTCCTATTTTAAATTCAAAGTCCTTCCTTTCCCTCTGGCTTCTCCCCTCTTAGTCTGCCTTACCCGGCGGGAAGCGGGTGTAAGTAGATCTGAGGGTGCAGGAGTCCAAACGACATTACCGTACAGCTCATTCTGAACTTGGCTAAGGATGGGAAAGCTGGTTACTAGCTGGATAAAAAGCAGTTCTAAAAAAAAGTAAGTATTAACTTGCATCTTATGTTCTAAGAAGTAAGTATGTTTCATTTTCAAAAGTATATGCTCAAAGCACAAATAAAGTGAGAAAAATAATAATCATCACCCAACGGAAAACCATATAAAAAGCCTACCACTTTATTGCCATGGCGATAATAGAATGTTGTGCTAAACAAATCCATATAGAGCTATACAGTGATTAAATCTTGTGTCATAAAGTAGAAGCTGGAAAACCAGTGAGATCCATCTCAGCCTCTTCGTGTCCCGAGTCAAAGTCTGTCAGGCTTCAAATAATTGCAGGGCTTGAGAGATTCACAAGGGGAGGAAGAGGAAGGACCACAGATTTTGAAGGAAGGAGGACCCATGAACAGCTCCAAACACTTGTAATGTGTTACAGGCTTTTGTAGCAGGTTAGAGACTTTATCTATAGGCATCAGTTACCAATAGGCATAGCTTTACCAAAGTGCTTATTGTAAGTGTAGCTTTATTCAAAATTTTATAAGGTTGCTTAAATGTATTTTATTCTCTGAAAATTTAGCATTAATATTTATAGTAGTGCAACTGTTACTTTGTCCTTAGTGGCAGGACTACATTTAATTATAGTTATTTAAAAAATATTTGGAGATTCTAAAATATTTATATTTTCAGCTTATTAAAATGCAGTCAACAGATATAATAGATTACATGGTTCTCAAGTGTAAACAGTGGAATACTTTGTATAGGTTAGAAAATGCCGCATTTCCCTCTTTCCTGCTTTTGTGCTGATATAAATTCAGTAAGTTTCAACTGAGTCATACCAGCACAAAGACCAATTGTATGAAATATAACATACCTGCATAATTATTTTAAGAACCTATTTGTGTGCTGTAATATTGACCCACCAGCAAGCTTTCCTGTTAACTTTAGAATATGTAGCTGCTTTTGTTAGGGAAGGTTTTGCTGTAATGTCTTCTCATCCTCAAAGCAGGTGCTAAGCCTCCTTAACAACTTGACAAGCTGCACAGTTCCTGGGATCTGCAATAGTCCATGTTTTAACATCAAGTCTCTTTAACTGTTAGTCCTCCAAGACCCCAAATACTTTCCACCTCAACTTAGCAAAAAAATAAGCTACCTCCACATCTTTCAGGAGGTACTCAGTCCATGAGAGGGCTGGAGCCTGTACTGCTTTTTTCAATATTGAGCATTCACCTTGAACAGTTTTCTGTGCCGTGTTAGGGGTAGAAGGGATAAATCCATCATTAAAATCTTAAATTAATCCACAAGGGAATGTTTTTGAAAAGACAAAACAAATACGAACCAGATTCACAGTGCCTATTCAGCTTCCAGATGCTCTCAAATCTCATGTTTTCATTTTGGGTTCAACCCAAAATTTCCCACACCTTTGCAATTTCATCCCACCCTGGGTTCACACGTATTCCTGGGCTCCTGTGCAGGTTCTGAGAGAAGGCTGGTTGTTAAATTATTCACTTCATCCAAACACACTACAATTTTGGCCTGTAAAGTATGTATCTAAATTAATGAGGTATGCAATTCATTCAGGCATGTTAGGAAAACTGATCATTACGCTATACAATTTGATCACTGAAGTATATTAAAAAGTAACAAGTAAAGTATGCAGCTTGATCATTAAAGTATGGAAAATTTACTGAACTAGTAAAGTATGAGCCTGGGATGACTTTTGTCTCAAATGGCACCTCATAAATAAAACCCACAACCACAAAGGCAAACATTCACAAACCCAACAAGCCATACAGGTTTAAGTTGTATTTTTTCCTAGAAAACAGCTGAATGAGGGGAGATGAAAAAAATCTTGTGGAAATTATTTCTAAACGTTTTATGCATCACGTGGATCTTTTGATGGTTTTGACATATGTTGATGAGCTTTACATTCTGACTAACTCTCTAGAATACACACTACAGCATGTGTATATGAGCAGGATGCCCACTGAAATACAGCTGTGTAGAGCTGTAGGGCTATACTATACAAAAATAGAACTAAAGAAACATGAAGTATTTTAAGCAATGTGAGTGCAGCTTAATATTCAGATAGGAGCGAACCATGGTTATGGCATTTAGCTTGGGTGTTGCTAACCCACGGCAGAAGAGCTGAGAAAGGAGGCAGAGAGGACATTGTCTTGGGTGGGATGGTATTAACCACCAGTGGACTCTCTGAGGATATTTGTAAAAGTCAAGACCCTGGAGCTAGGAATATGCATCATGAACTTTTCTTGGCTGGCCTGCCAGTCTTGTGATTAATAAGGCCTGAGTGGAGCTCTTCTGCATTAAAATAAGTGGCTAATGCAGTCTGGCCTAATGAAAGCTGCAGTTGGGAATTAGGCTCCCCCAAAAGAAAATGTACTCACACGTCCTTCCCCACTGTGAGCTATTTGAGACGTGGAAGGGGAAAAAGTAAAGAACGTGTTAAAAGCAATAGTTCAGGGCATGCTGGTCAGGTCTAGAACAGGAAGGTGTTCATACAGGATCGGCACAGCTGCCTATAGTGGGGAATATATGGGGAAAGGAGGGATTATGATCAGGGCCAAACAATTTGTTGTTTAGCTTTCCTGGAGCTGACACCGCTGAGTAATTTGCTGCAAGCTTAGTAAAGCTTCACCTGTCAAGTCCAGCAGTGAGGAGAAAGAGGGCAGGTCAGGTTGAGGAGATGACAGAGAGAAGTGACAGATTACCGCATGTGTCCGTGTTCAAGGGCAGGAACTGAGCTAACTAGGGGTTTGCTGACACGTGTGTCTTTCAGCTCACAAAGGAATTACTGGAATGAGTAGAAACATATTCAGCAAAGATTTTTTTAAAAAAATGCGATTTCATCTAAAATGATGAAATTTGGAAATCGGATTGAATTCCAGGACTTCTTTGCAGAACATTTCAATATCAAATCAGGCATTTGAGTTAGCTTTGTCCTGAATTTTCTGTTTCCACACTAAATTCTCCATTTTCATTTGTGTTTAGCTTCCTGTTCTGAGTTTCTCTGCAGTCTGTCTCATGCTGCAGAGTGCCTTCTTCACCAGCTGAGTGCGTTTTGTTTTCAGCCAGTTCCATCTAACCAACTTGCCTGCAAAACTGCAGGCTTGTTCATTCATCCTTGATGTTCTTCCTGCCAGAGAGAGCATCCCGCTTTTCCTTGGACCAGTACCCATGAGAGGATTCCCCCCAGTATAGCAAGTTCACATCTCTTCTTGAAGCCTGGCACTGTGAGAACTGTACCGCCAGGTCCCAGCACTGAGGTCCAGGATTAGTTTCTGCTATTCACAGTGAAAACCGTGGGTACATCGTCACGGTCTCCATCTTTGTTGGGCATGTTGCTGGTGGAGAGTCTACAGAGCTAAAGCCACTTGCTCTCACACCACATTGCTCTCAGTAGTAGCTGCTACAACCCTGTCCTGTAAAACGCAAGCAAAACAGCTTCCTTGTGATCTTGGAAACTATTCTTAAATCAACAGAGGGGACAGCACTGACACAGCTTACCAGCTCCACAAATGGAGAGTGGCTGTGCCGTGACTCCCCAAACACTGATTTGCCTGCAAGTGGTGAAGTGCAGAGTGCAACTCTACCGTGTATCTGTTGTAACCATATCGTTTTGGAGCTCAAAAAACCCGTGCAACGGAGAATTGACATCCTCAGTCTTTCCACAGCCTTGCTTCCTAAACTCAGCAGCGTTACTAACCCTGTATTCAGGCGTGGAGAGCTGAAGTTCATTTTGCTGCCATAATCTACCTGTGAAATCGCAGCAGGAATATGTATGGACCTGCTCTGCAGAGGTGCTGCTTTTTCCTGTCTTGGGGGTGGGAGTTTTACAGGTTTATTCCTCACTCACTGTCCTCATCTGTTGAACCTCTGGGCCTTCCTGTTCTGGGCCACTGATTTGATCAGACACTGCCATCAGTCATGACCCATTGCACCACCAGCAGAGATTACCAGCCCTGCTGCTTGTGTCCCTACCCTCAGCCAGCAGCACCACAAACTTCATCTGTCCTCACGTAGAACAGCTCCAGGGAAATACTCCTTCTGGGATACCTGCATGTTTGCATCTATTTTCCAGTATTATATCTGCTTCAGGCTGAGAAATGTTAAAGTTTTCCTTGCACTGTGATCTAACTCCATGTTTCTCTTTATCCATAGCATACTGGTTTGAAAATTCCCCTTCCTGGCCCCTGCTCTCCTGCGCAGTTCCCTCCACATGACTACAATGTGCTGTCCCCCACTGAGCTGGGATATCTGTTTTGGGATCCTTCCCCATTGACAAGCGTGCCAAAGCCGTACTTCCCTTTCCTTTTCTGTTCCAAATCATGAAGAAAAGGGTCTAATGGAATTTTAAAATGGCAAATTGCTCCTTGGGATGGAAGCCTTTCACTCTATATTTACTAAGAGCAGAGGAAAAGGAGAAAGTAGGGATAATGGAAAGTAGGGAACGTAGTATTAGACCATCACGCACAGTGCTGATGGACTGGGCACTGCTGGGGAGACAGAGGAGCAGGGAAGCCTCACTGTGGCTCCTGCTGCCTAGGCTTAATATTTCATAGTTATTTAATACAATAGGTATTTTGATTACATTTAGAGGAATGTGGCTTTTTTCTAGACAAGGCAGAGATTGGCATGTGGGCTACCTTTGACTCATTTTGTCAAATCATTTTGTCAAACCATCATATACCATTACATATTCTAAACACTACCAAGAGTATTTTATCCTGCAAATGTGACCTCAAAACTTGAATCTATCTGTTGCAAATAGTTGGTGAAAAGGAAAATGGTACATTACAGAATGACCCTCAATGGAGTTTTCATCTTTTATTTATAATGTAGTTTATTACTGCAAGCTCCTGTTGCACACCAGCTATCAAATCCTCAGCAGGTGTAAATCAGCACTCAGGTTAATGGAGCTAGACTGATCACTGCCAGATGAGGATACAGCTCTCCTTGCAACCCAGGGATAGAATACAAGTTTCTCTAGAGTGCTGAGACTCTGAGAGCTAAAACAGGCTGGCTGATGAATTACTGGTTATCTGACCATGAGAAGAAAATGCACTTCCACCCCAATCCACGGTCAGGCAACTAACCCTGCTGCTTCCACACATCTTTACGGAAGAGCGTTTAGGGAAAACAACTTGAAGATACATGCTGTTAGGGTAAAGGAGGGCCCACTGGCCAAGCACAGAAGCCTCTAAAGCTGTGTAAACTGTCAAAAGGATGATTACTTCTGGCAAAGGTCATTCTCATGTACAAAGAGGAAAATGCGTCCTTTTTCAGGGGAGGATACAAGGGCCTTCTTGTGTAAGCTGTTTCCCAAGACCTTTGCCTTCTGAGCCTCCCCAGAAAGGGACAGAGGTCAGACTTGTGACAGGGCAGGGAACAGGACCAGAGAAATTGTAGTTTATCTTGATGTACCAATTTACTTTCTAATTAAGAATTCCTCTTAATAGAAAAATCTTCCAGAAACAGGGACCTGCAGGAATGGAGCTTCACTGAGCAGGTGTGGGTGGCAGAGCCTTCTTTTATTACTAATCAGCATAGTTATGCCATTTATAGAAAAGGACATGAGGCTCTGCAAGGAACTTTCTAAAGAGGAAAAATACAGCCCTGCTTTGAACAGCAAGCGAGCTACATCGGGTGGCCCATGAGAAAAGCCTCGTAATAATGCCCTCCTCTCTTGGTGAAAGCAGGAGGTGAAAGTGGATTGACATGGTCCTCCCGAGGTGCTCTCAAATTCTGTTCGGAAGGGCGAGAAAGCCTGTGCAGAGCTGAGCAGAACGGTCAGGTAATCTGGATTTCACACCTTACGGCAGCAGCTGGCGTTTGGCCACGGGCAGGTGCTGCTGAGAGGCCGCGGGGCTGTCTGAGACGGGACGGAGCAGGAGCAGGCTGCAGGGTCCTGGCCCCCGAACTCTGCAGTGATATACCGACAGAGCCTGATGGGACGAGTGGAGCACGTGGCAGCCAATATCAGGAAATCACTAAAAGAGAAGTAACCCCTTTTCTATGCGATGGAAACTCTGCTGTAAATGATCTGCAAGCACTGCTAGGGCATAGGCTGCCCAGCTCTGAGGCAGCTTCGTTCCTGCTGCTCCCTTTCACTCACGAGGTTCGAGTCAGACACAGCAAAGCTAAGTAATGTACCCACACTGTGCATAAGCTCAGTTTCAAATGCAGGTTTTCTAGCTTCAGTCTGTGGTTTGCAAGAAGAACAAGCAATTTATATTTTTTTTCTTGGCTCTCTAACCATTTTAAGATCAAAGTGCATCAGGTCTTATGAAAGAAACAAAAAGCTCTTGAAATTAAATAAATTAGGAAAGCTTGCACTTACAAAATACGTTTCTTTAAAAGGTCGCAGGGCAGTAACGCTTTCCCTAAATCTTTGGCTTCATTAGAATAATGAAAAGCAGCGGTACGGTGCTTTTTAGTTGCAGTAATGTCGGGCCGGCAGAAGGCGCGCCCTGCCGTGGACCATGCCCAGCAATCTTCGTTTCCTGACTACGGCACAGACTGGCTTCTGCGTCTGCAGGCACGATTCCACTTCTCATATTTCTTCTCTTAATAATAATGCAGCCGTAAAGCCTGTCCCACATGTATGTTTTATGTAAAGCATGGTTAATATTGAAAAGTGTTATTTGCATCTGAAGATGGTGGAGTCTTTTCTGATTAGGAGGCAGGTTTCTTGCAGTTCTGTAAGAAACATATTTTCTTTTCCATCCAGTTATAATGATCATGTGAGACGTGACAAGGAAACAGGAGTGCAGGACCAAAAGCCATCTGTTTCTTTTTTGGTATTTCATATTGCATGGAGCAGGAAGGTGGCAAAGCTTATATGCTTAAACATAGGGGTACAAAATATGATAGTAACATTTAACATGCTGTAAAGAAATGTCTTTGAACCAAAACCAGATTTATCTTTTTTTGTTGTTTTTACCAGGACCTCTTACCACAGCTATAGTAAAACCGGCTGCCACTTGTGTTTGTGAAAATTTTGCTTTCAAGATATTTTACGTATTTAGTTTAGATAGTGCAGTGGGTGGAAAGTCAGCTTCCATTACTGAAAATAAATAGTTTCTTCTTCAAAATTCTGATACTGCTTTTCTTTGTTATTATTATTCCACATTGTGCCATTCCTAAGACTAATTTGTAAGTAAAACTTGGTTTCATTTTAAAAACTGAAGTTTACTGCTAATTCTGGAGGTAGAATGTAATATTGAATAGATTTCATTGATATTTAACTTCATGAAATGTAGCCTTTTGCCTGCACAGTTAGACTTTCGGTGTTCTCAGGTATGTCCATACCAAAGCCTAGCAGTGCTTTACTCTGCAGTTTATTCCAACCAACTGTATTTTGTCCTTTTTATTTCTGCTTGCCATATGACCTTCTACTGTGTTTATCCAAAGTGTGGATTTCTGCCCTGCGGAATGCATAATGGGAGTTTAGTCAGTAATAAGCTCCAGCGGTAGATTTTAAAAGCCGTACACCGGTGTTAGATTTGAAAGCGACACACTGAAAAAAAGGAGTTTGTGCACATCTTGTGCTAGCATTAACACACTTGTACCCAACCCCTTCTCCATTTTCCCCTCACATATTCTGTACCTTTGCAGCCTTCAACTGCATTGTTTAGCTGCAGTATCCCTACTGTGGGTGACCAGATTAAAAAGTACCGCCATAAATATACCTGGACCTTAGAAAGGAAAGGGACATAATTGCCCCCTCTTTCATCTCAAAACTGAAGTGCCTTTTCAATGAAAGAGATTTCCACTGCTTGCTAAAGACTATTCAGATGAGAAGAATACATTTGGGATATTTGGGCCAGTTAGCGCTCACTTCCCTTTTTTCTGCATTAACAGAATAGCCCTCTTTGTAAGATCACCCTATTTTTTAGACCTTTGTAAAAGTTTAGGTCCGTCTTGGAATCCTGTGCTTTTGTTGGCCTGTCACCAGTTGGATCACATTTATAGAGAGTCTATTTTTTCCCTTAACTACTTGCATAGCCCCTTTTCTCTTTTGTGGTGCAAGCCAGAATTCCTGGAAGCAGGTTTTACTGCCCACGGGATCTCTCAGGCCGTCTTCTCCACGGACGTTTCCCTCTTCTACTGGCTGAATGCCACACCATGATTTATAATTTGTTCAGTGGATCCATTATTGAATCTCTGTGTATGTTTTTTTTGTCTAGACTGAGGAAGGGCAAAAAGTCATTCCACCTAAATCTGCTTGGGAGCTGCCAGAGAGAGGCATCCTCTCACAGATACAAGAACTAGTGACTGCTGGCTTTAACGCAATTGCACAAGAGTTGAAACATATTGACTCTTCAAAAGATAATACGGTATCAAAAGAAGAGTTCTGGGATATATGTAACTGACATTCTCATCAGCTGACTGAAGAACAAGTAAGAAAACTATATAATTTTGTCGTCTTAATTTAAGTGTACAACTGGGTAAATTGGCTACGGCTAGAGACATGTGTTTGCATACTGCCGTGTATAGGCAAGTAGTTTAAAAATTTGGATGAAATGAAAATGTTTTAAGACTATCATTCCATGAACATTTGTTGCTACATTTGTGGAAGATTATTTTTTTCCTTATCTCTGAGTATGGTTATGAACTATAATAATCGCAGGCTTTCTAAAGCAAAGTCACGGAGATGCTATTGCTAATAGCGAAGGTGTGAATTTAAAGCACAGTAGTTCTCTTTCACTAGCTCTTTATCTGTATAGTTGCTATTTTAAAAGTTTCTTTTTTCAATTTTAAATTAATCCAGTTCCAGTTGATGGGGAAAAAAGCCTTCTCAGCATGGAATAAAAAGTATTTCCATGAGGAGCTAATGCAAATTCCTTTTTCTCAGTAGCTATTTTGTCCTGTCTTCCCTGGACAAAGACAGGGGCAAACATTTGACTTTCCCGGCCACCTCTCAGCTTCTTTTCTGGGTTAAAGATTCCACCAGATTAGTGTTAGCAGAGTTTACGTAACCTTGAATTTATCTATCTTGAGTGACTGAAGTCATGGCATGAATCTGGCAGTACAAACCATCTGATTAGCCCAGTGCTAATCTCAAGGGAATCTGAGAGGCCAGTCTTACCTAAGATTCTGCTTCTGCTGAATTTAAAAGAGCCATTTTTTTATCTTTGCTAATGCTTGTTCAATGTGATTTGTCCTAGTCCAAAGACTAGGTGAATAATAAAACAGAGGGAACCTTGACTAAAAGATTTCAGATTTTACTTAACAGCACTCTAACCTTCATGCTCACAATTGCATCAACGCCATTTGGCAGCAAACTGAAAGACAAGACACAGAGCCTCCAAACTCGTATGCGTGTCTGCACTACAGAAAATTATTTCAGTACTTTGCTGACTGCAGATATACCCTCTGAGTTCTTGGCCCAGCATTTTTGACTATAAATTGCTGACAGGAGAAGGGCCTGCTTGTAACTACAGCAAAGAGATTGCACAGTCTGCCGTGTTACCAGGTGCTGCTATGCATGCGTAAAGTTACAGGTGAAAGCACTGAAAAAAATAAAAATATTTTCCACTTCCCCCTTGAAAATAGCAGAAAAAAACAAAATGGCCTATGTGCTCTATTCTTAGTGGCCACAACTCTGGTGAGGTACCAAGTGCAAGTGACAGATCTGAACCTGGAGCCTCAACACCGGGTGAAAGCAAAAGTGAAAATGTGGTGACACTTTCCTCGTGCCTGTGAACCCCTGTGCAGAAGCATCAGGGTGAGCTCATGGCAGGAGAACACACACCTTCCCAAGCTGTGAAAAAATATCTCATTTTTTTTTCTTTTTTGGAAGCAGTAAGGCAGGCATCTCCAGCTGAAGAGTCCTCCAGACTAGATCCTGTCTACTTTACACTCAAGAAGAAGTGAAGGGACACGGGAGCTATTTTATACTTAAAAGAACCTCAGACAAGTGAAGAAAAAAAATCTTGATAGAAACTGTCATCCATAATAGCAACAAGAAGCAGGCCTGAGGAGCCTCATTTATATAAGCAGCAGCCTCTGTGTGAGTGAGACTCGAGCCCTGTATCTCCAGAGATATTTTGATTTTGACAGGCCTCTCAAAGATATGCCTACGTGTATCTATATGAAGATGCCCCAGGAGAGCCTTGCAATCTGGGTACAGGGTTTGCCACTGCTAATCCAAACCCCTGCCGTGCTGGTTGTTGTTGCTGCTCAGAGTTGTTACAGAAGTGTTACTAATAGTCATAGTCTGGGTGACTTCATAGAAAATGTCTTCTTTTATCCTTTTCTGGATGATGGCCACTTACTGTTTGCTATTAGCAAGGCTCAGCTGGAGTCTGTATTGAATAGTGGATGAAGAATTTCTTCCTGAAGTTTGGTTTCTTGGTCTTCTGAATTTCTGATACTGTGACCTTTTTCATAAAAGGCTAAGGATGGTAAACACGCTGCAAGCAAGGTGTTGATTAATATCTCGCCAACTGACATCCACTTTTTTATCACGGGCACTTTTCTCCTCTCTGCTTGAACTCCCTTGACTTGCTTGAACTATCTGTAATCTCCCAAATGGCTAAACTTTGTTGGGTGTTGAAATAGTTTCTAACTATAGCTAACCCAGCTCATCAGGGTATTGTTCTATTTAATTGAAGTTTATAATACACTTTGAGATCCTCGTATGAAGTGTGAAGTACAATCACAAGCACAAAATAGAATTGTTTATAATTCATAATGTGGTAGCAGCCAGGCCAATGGGGGAAAGTTGAAAGGAAATTCAGAATGTATCCTTTGCCCTTTGAAGTTTCACTGCAACTTGGCACATGCATCAAAGAGGTGACTAGCTTCCTTTAGGGTTTAAATCTCTGCCGGAAAAGATCAAATCAAAAGCAATCTGAAGTTCCCAATTAGATTTATATTAAAAATCAATAATGAAGACCCTAAAAAGGCATACTGATGACTGTTGAAACACTCACAAAATGAGTACAGCTCATTTAAGGGCAGGCTGTGATAATCCTTACTTTGATTAGTAGCTTATATCATGAGTAGTCCCATATAATTCAGTGCAACTACTTACTGAATAAAGTGCTGTTCAGTGGGAAATCAGCCCAGCCTCATCCTTACGGTACCATGTGTAGCCCCGAGGGTGGGCTACCTGCCGAGGGTGGGCTACCTGCCCTGTGTTGGGCCAAGCAGCCACCCAGACCTCCCCAGGCAGCAGAAGCAAGGGTATCAGCAGCCACCCCCAGGTCTTCTGTAGGCTGGCTGTGCTGTAGAGGTACAGTTCTTGGCCATACGTTGTAACTATATGCGATTCTAAAGGCTGTAAAGATTTCCTGCCGTGTTCTTTCATGCTGATTCATTTTTGCCCTCAGGGTGAAATAATTTGTTGATGCAAATACAATAACTGAGGAACCTTAATGGCCTCCTGAGATGGTGGTATAACTTAGGTGCCCCTGATAGCGTGAGAAATTTGCTTCAATGGTACTTAGCCAGGATACAGGTGCACCATGTATTTGATTTACATCTCATGTTAAAGCGTTATTCTTCTATACTGCAGCTCAGTCACTGTGTCTAATCACAGGGTTTAGTAGCTTAAACAGCACACTAAGGGCCCAACTCAATTAAAAAATGTCCTGCAGAAATCCTTTTTTCATTGTTTTCCCAGCCTTGTGTGAGCTTCTGCAGAGAAGCTGTGATTTTTTTTTTAATAAGATGGGCCCTAGGATTCCTTCTGTTCCAGGGCATCCTCTCCCTTTCTTTTTGATATGTTTTGTCATATCCTTAGTACATAAGGGGATTCTCTTGTTGTAAAACTAGCATTTACAAAAGTAATCTTTTGCTTCTTCATTAGTTTGAAAATCTTTGGAACACAGTAGATGTCAGCACTGGTGGACAGCTGAAGTGTCAGGACTTTTTGAAGAAGTTCAGCTCAGAACTTGTAACGATGCTGTCCAGCACTCCCAGTGCAACTAGTTCTGCAACTTCTACCAAGCCAGCTACCCATGCCGTGCAGGACCCATGCATATCTCCTCAGCCTGAACGCCCCAAGACATCATCTTCTCTAGTAGGGCAAAAGAGTGTAAGTGTGGTTATTTTATGAATTTTCTGGATTTTCTTTTCTGTGCATAGACTGAAAGTAATACCTGTGGGACTCAGTGAAGGTATTCCTATTGATTGCCCGTGAAATCAGGCACAACCACCTGTCAATAAGTAAATGAGGTAATTTGCAAAACTGTGTTACGATGACAAAAATTGGGCCAGATAGTAACCCCACTAAAGTCCAAGGATATATGTTGATTTATACCAATAGCATTCCCTGCTGTTACCATACACATATCCGCAGAGCTGTACGGCAAATAAAATTTCTGTGTTCAAGCACAATCAGATTTCTGAGAACAAAGAAAACGGCCCAAATTACAAAGGTCTGATAGCTGCAAAAGCAGCATTAAAAAATATAGATGGCTTATCTGTGGTCATCTGACAAAGGTAGGCAGGACTGGCAGTTGCAATTTTCCAATAGGTGTTTGCTGGCCTGTCCTAAAATACTCTGGTGGTCTTGCCTGCTTTCTGGTGGATGCCAAATTACAGCAGCTAATGCCTGACAGTCTGATAGACTTGCCATGAAGGCTAGTGATCCAAGAGAGTTAAGAGAAATTAATTAGGAATGCAGTAGTTCTGCTTCATTTTTGCATCCATACCTATACTTCATGTCAATAATGCGCTTTGGTCCTCTCCACGCCATGCTGGCTTCTTACCCTGGTGCTAGAATTCACAGAAAGGTGGGGAAATCATTACACACAGAAAAATTAAATATCCCCCTTGTGGAGCTGCACCTACCTATTCCACGTTCTTTAGCTACAACCAAACCAACAACAGAAGAATAAGATATTTAGAATTATTCACTGCCTGGAACAGGCTTGGATTTTCTGACTACTTCTACATGGAGATGTTTAGCTACTGAAAAAGAAATAACAGATTGAGCAAATTAAAGATGCAAACAACTTGTCAGGGCTGGTAAATCTAAACATTGGCCCATTGCTAGCTCAATTATTGCATTAACTATAGGTTCTTTCTTGAAAAGCCTAGATGATTAGCTACATGCATCCTTTGTGCTTTGATCCAGTTCCCAGAGGAAGCAAAGGAAAATTCCTTCTTACTGTCTGTGAGTGCTAGATTTGAAGACAATAGGAAGAGAACTTAAGTCTCCCCAAACTTATGGCTGTTGGAAAGACCCCAGCCAGCCTGAACACCAGTCAGGATGAATGTTCCTGCAGCACTCATTGCATGGAAACCTGTGTGAGGCCTCAGCAAGTCTGCACCAGTGAGACCCTCAAGGGAGCACTGGGAGGTCTCACTAAACATGAGATTATGTGTTGGATCTAGAAGCATAAATACCGCTTGTGCATGTATCGTACAGCAGTAGGCTGAGGCTTTGCTTCCAGCTTACCCACAGTACTGCTAAGGCAGCAGCCAAAAAGACACTGAGCACCGGGATCCTCTCACGTTACTCCTTCTGTGGCTCTGCACAGGACTACTGCAGAACTGCGTCCTCCCGGTGACAAATCAAAGCAGTGTTATTTCATAATTCAGTGACTTTGCACTGGTTTGTGTTTGGTCTAAGATGGTACTACACAGCTTTTTTTGAACACAGTAGCTGTTGTTTAATAAGAAACAGTTTGGAGAAACTATAAATGACTTACAGATTAAGCTGAATTAAGAAAAAAATAGTCAAGGCCCATTAAATGGTGTTCTTTTGACACTAAGAGTGTTCTCACATCTTTACCTAGAGTTTTGCAGACCAAATTCACATCAGACTTAGAAGTGGCTCAAATGGTACATTAATCTCAAGGCTGGAAGACCAGAAACTGGATTTGTCATCTGGTAGTTTATCTATACAACCAGTGAAACTCAATAGAAAAAAAAACCCATTATCTCTTGCTTTTAGATACCAACATCCAGTCGTCCTCAGACAACAACAACTTGTTCTGCATCTGTCCTTACCTGCAAAACCATAGACAATAAGATAAGAAAGAACATCCTACATTCCTGGAGAGGCATATTGAAAGCGTGCAAAGAGAAGGATGTCGGCAAGCTAGGAGAAATCCCAGCGTCAGACTTCTTAGGTTTGTTCCATCTGAAAAGTGCTTTATTCATTTCTCAGATGCATTCTGTTTTCTTTCTGCTGTCCCAGCCATAGGAACATCTAGCCTCTAGGAAGCAGCATCCACTGCATGATTGCTCCAGGTACCACCCTGCTATTGCAGAGCAGAATAGCCTTAGCTGCAATACATTCGCATTCCTATTCAAAATTAGCTACTCCTTGAAAAAGAAGTGCATGGCTTGCTTGTGGGTACTTATGGCATGTGTACGAGTATCTCATCACCTTCCCAATACACTACCCTTTCTGTGCCCTGGGGATATTTCAATAAATAGATTCACCAGTCTTTTCCTTGTGGACTTCTGTGTGCTTCTGGTCGCACTGGTCTCGATGGCTGAATGTCTGCTGAGTTGAAAGGACCCTGGATTTTACTCTTAGAAGAACTGGGCTATGCTGCTCTTCTGTTGTGTTCTCTTCTAGAGAGAGGATTTTCTGTGCCTTTGTTAGGATATTTGCACGTGTGATAAGACAGTGCGCACCTGTATAATCACATGTAAAGTCCTGGCTGTAAGAACATGCTAGCTTATCAGATCTTCTGTCTCAGGTGATGTCAGGGAGTACTTCTTGTGCGTTTAAAATCAAAATGACATGTTATCAATCCCCTGAAACCCTGTAAAATGTGAACTGCAACCCCATAAGTATAGGTATATGCATATACTTGCATATAGCAAGATCTGCATAACACACGCAGCAGTCACGGGAACTGATGACCTGTCAGCATTTACCTGGTAAAACTTGTGAACACAGGACAACGATTGGCTATTTTTCAGAATGACAAAATGAATATTCTTTCTTTGCATTTCAGATATAGCAGAGAAGTTCAATTTGGATTTAAATGAAGGGGAAATTAACCACATAACAACAAAATATGATTTCAAGAAAAATGGAAGATTTGCATACTATGACTTCCTTCAGAGTAGTATCTTGTTGTTAAAACCACAGGAAAGCTCTCTGCTACAGAGGATGATTATACAGAAGCCACAAAAGCCAGTAGGTACAAAGCTTATAAAAAAAATCAAAATGACTTTTTTTTTTTAGTTTCTGCTGTACTGACAGGATATTTCATTGCCTGTCTCTGTAGTCACTTTATGCAGGGACTTTCTTTTCTTTTAATCCCATGATACTAATTGCCTAGTATTCATTTGGTATCTCCTTCAGTTGGAGGACTTAACTCCTTGGGATCATGCTTTCCGTATCCAGGTTATATAGTAAATTGGCCAAATTTGCTAAAATTTGGATAATAATTCCAAATAGAAAACACAGGAGCTGACACTTTAAGAGCTTTTGTTGAACTAAATAAAAATCAAGCTAGAAATAAAAAGTGCATGGGATGTGTCTTAAGATGATCCCGACTGGTCAGCAAGCTGTGCCTCTGCTCCACACCCAGCACTGCAAGAAAAGCCCAGGGGAAGCTCTTCTCTTGCACTGCTGTTGACGGTCACTAAAAACATCTCGTAGCCAGGACTGGCCAGCACACATTGTGCCCTTGCAGCTCTCCCTGCCACACATACCAGCTCCCCAAGCTACGATGAAGAGGCAAAAGAACCCCAGCAAAACAGCTACACACAGGCTGTTCCCCTCTGCTCACAGTACTGCTCTAGGGCAGAAAAGATCAGAAGAGACACAGAAATCTGGCTCTCATGGCCCAGAAAGGAAGGCATCGGTAATAGCATCCCAATCAAGTTATGTAGTAGGAACAGTGCCAAATTCCAAATCTGCTCATTCAGCAAGCCTGCTGCATTTTTAGGCTGTTTCTGACTGTGCCTAATTAGCTTAGATATGGTTAGTAGCAGCATTTTATAGAGAAATTACATTACCAAAGTGTTTTCAGATGTGGAATGAACAGATTGCTACCAAGGTATGAAGAGAGTATCATTAGGAATTATCAAGTATTCACCACCAGTAGGGAGAGTAAGGTAAAACTATTAAGTTTTGCATGAAAGAACTTCATTATCTTACATGAGGTTTCCTTTATACACAAATTTGATGCTGTAAAATTCCATCCCAGTATTCTGGAGTGGATAAAGCAGTAATTTCTAAGTCCCTATGTAGTTGTCTTGAATAATTTTTATTTATTCAATTCAGAAAAAATGAAGGTCTCAGTCCATGTTCTGAGCATCCTTATATAATGTAATACTCAGAGTGAAATTTCCTCATAGACCTCTCGGTCCATTCCATCTAATAAGCATACAGATACACATCAAAAGGCACCATAAAAAAAAAAAAAAATTTTTTTTTTCCTTTTTGGTGGCACGTACAATTCCTTCTCTTTCTCAAAAGCCTGAGAGAATCAATGGCCTAGAGCTTCATGGAAGTATCCAGGGTCTGAGCTATGAAAATAATCCAAGTTGCAGTCACCATGAAGTGCCCTTTCCCTCCCTTCAGCCCACAAGGGTACTCAGTATTTTGGATTGGAAACTGCATTATTCATGTACTCACTCATTCCTCAGCTACACAGTCTGAAGCAGAAATACTCCAAAAGCACAGAAAGAAGGTGCAGCTGCCCCCCCAGGTCTCTTACAACTAGTGTATGTGCAGCACAGCCTCTGTGTCCACGTAGCAGATGTATAAAGCCAACTGTGCAATTCCTTCCTAAGGAGATGCTTGTAGAGACGCCAGTGACGTGCAACCGGCACAAGCGGGGCACTAGCAACTTACTCAATTACAATAATAAATACCAGGAGAATGTAGGGGAAAGCTGAGATGGAGCCATATTTTAAGAAAATAGTAGAGCAGATCCAGAGCCTGCAGGTGGATTGGGGCTTGCTGATTTTTCCCACAGTCCCTTACTCATCCCTCCAGTGTTAAAGCTTTGTACAAGTGGAACTAATTTTGCTTTAATGAATAGTTCTGCAGTTCACAGGTGTTCAGGGTACATCAATGTAACAAGTTTAGCTGGGTTAAACAACAGGCCACAACATGTCCCAAGGAAAATTTATCCTAGAGTCCAGCTGTGGAACTGCAGAAAGGTTCAAAAGCTGGTTACAAGGTATTTTATGTACCAGGGAAAGTGTACAGTAGGGTTTGTTTTTTTCTTAAGTATTGTACCGCTCCCACAGTTGGCTTGTGCATTCAGTCACTTTTAAGCAAAAATTTCACTCTGAAAAATGAACACTGCAAAGAATTAAAAAATGACTGAAAGGGAGTTGAAACAAGGACAAGCATAACACATGTGAAGACACCGAGATCTAAGCAGAAGTAACACTGACTTCAGAATCAGTTTCAAATAATAAAAAGTTAGGGCTTTGACAGTGATTAAGTAAATATACCATCTGCACTTTCCAAGAATATCAAAATGTTATAGGTTAAAATAATCTTGTGTAAACAGTATCTTGCAATAATTTGTAAACAAGTATTCAGCAGCCAGTCATAGATTAAGGCAGCATTACAGTCCAACATCTTTTCATTCTGCATTATAGTTCTTCCCAGTTGCGTTCATGATGCTGTTAGTAAATGCAAGTCATTCTCATCCAACTTTGTTAGCTGAGTCCTGGACCACAAACCACATCATTCTTCAGTGCAATGCTGAGAATTCAGCCCCAGATCCTGCACTGCTGGTGACCAATGAAGCGAACTTTTAAATCCTATGATGAAAGTCATACCGGACTGTTAAATATTGCAGATTTCAGACAAGTAAGTTGCGTTTAGCAAATAAGTCAGGAAATTACAGTTGTGTAATCTAAGCTTTCTGATTGAAGGTTTTCTGAAAAATGGTACTGAACTAGAGTGTAGAAACTGGCTCCTCTCTGTGACTTCAGCTCTGACCATTACTCACGGCAATCTTTCTCCACACATGATTACACTTCCTTGAGGTCTGAGGTCTTGCTGGCATCCTGAATAGATAACACAGAGAAAAACCTTAGTCCCTCTACAAAGTTTAAATGTGCATCTTCTACAAACACATGGGAAGGGACTAGAAGCGTACCTTCTGATGGGTTTCCCTACAGGCACTGCTACAGCTGCAGGATCCTGCAACCCTCCAACTGGTGTGGTCCTTTTGAAAAGTGGAATGGGCTCAAGCAATCCCTATTTGAGAGCCTCTGTTTCTGGTTTCTTTTTGCTTTTCTGTGTGCAGCATAATTTTATACTAGGCAAGGGATTGTATCTTCTGCAAATATTTAGGTATCTTGTATCTCCTCAAACAGCAAATACACACCTGTGTATTCTGGATATCAGTGATTCTTCATCTAGATCCATGGGGAGTTTGATTTTTGCTTAACTTTACTGATTTCAAAATCTTTGACATTGTTTTAACTAGGAATAATAATCACTATCTGTTCTGGAGTAATTCTGAATATTTACTATTCAATTGCAAGAAAAAAAAATAGAGTGGCGCCCTTAACCCATTTAATGCTGCATGCATTAGGACACCCCTTGGTATTGCTCTTAACTAAAAATAACAACTGATCAACTAGCAGACAGGATGCTCAGTTGCAGTAAGCAAATGCTTGGCTGCAATAAGCAGCGCTAAGGTGTGCTTCTGATGCTCTCCTTCCCCTGGAGCTGCAGGAAGCCAGCTTGTTGCCTGGTAGATATAAACCTGTTCAATTATACCAGTCACAGAAATGCTCTTTTAAATCTTTACTTATTTAGGACCGGTGGGAATGCGATACGTTCCGGCACTGCCACATAGCTGAAACTTGAGTCCCTGTCTGCTCCTCTCCAAAGGCAGAGGAGCAAGACGTATGGATCAACGTGGCCATATCACCTTCCTGCCTGCGGCTCCCCGTCTATCACTGCCGCTTGCTGACTGCCTGGGCACTGCCTCAGCAGACCAGGCTCAGGGGAGGAGGAGTGAAGATCAGGCTCCTTTGCATTTGATTTTAATTTGTCATGTTCCTCTAGGACATGTGATGATTACCATTTATAGTTAAAGTAATGTCAACAACTTTCTCATCAAGCTTCCTAACATGATACGAGCTAAGCAAAAAAAACCCAAAAAACAGCAAAACACCAAAACAAAACCAAACCAAACCACAACAAACCCACAACAAAAAAACCTAACTCTTCATGGCTCTAGATCAAGAAGCAATCCCTGATTCCAAAATCCTACTACAAAGGTGTTAATCTGCTGTTTGACAAAATATCAAGTGATTTGTGGAGGTACAGATCCCTTTATCTCCTAGGTAACTTAATTTACTGAAACGGGGAAATTAGCTCTCTACTAACTTCAGTAACACTGCTATTTATGGCTGTACTATCTGCAAGGGGTCATTAGCGATTTCTGATGCTGAGCTGTTAAGAAGGAAAGGGGCAGACTAATCTGAGTTTGCCAGAAAAACTAATGACAACTGGCATAGCCCACAAGGACACGCTGTGTTGCTGGCCACTTTCAGGGTTTAAATTCCCAAGTGCATCTAAAACCAGAAGTAATCCTCAGAAATTAATGCTTTATTCCCCCGCCCCGCAATGTCAGGGCATTGAGAACATTTAAAACTGTTGAAGTGCTGAAAAATGCACTGGGCGAAATATTTGAAAGATGCAGGTATCTAACCTGGCTTTTAGCATCAGGTGGACCAGATGCATCCTGTTCAACCTGGGTTCCCACTGAAGCATTAGGAAGGCATGCTTACAGGCTGAGCATTTGTCCCACAGAAATTAAAAGCACCGAGTGCATCGTGGGCATTATTATATACATAGGGGTTTGTACAGTTTGAGTGACTGGATTATTCCTTCCGTTTCTCTGGATGCAAAGTCTGCAGATCACCCAAGGAGGATAGAAAGGAAGATATTCCACCTCCATCTTACCTCCAGATGGTACCGAAAGCCTTTTAAACATGTACTTTTTAAAATTAGCTTCTATTCCCGTGGGTGCTACCCATTTCCCAATGCTCCCTCAGGCAAGTGCTAGTTGGGCTAGTGGACAAAACCCCTGCGTGTGCAGGTTTTCGGATATGCATCCCAGGGAGCCAGTATTGGCATGGGCAAAATAAGAGATAATAAAGGAAGGTTTGATTTTCTAGTATTCTGAGAAACCTAAGACAGAGTGGAGCTGAATCATCAAGTTATTTTGTAAAGAAATTTTAGCAAGATAAACTAATGTTTATACTTCTTGCTGACCCAAAGCACTAGAATAAATTTTAAAGTTGTCTGTCTTTTGTAGGTTCTTCATGAGTACAGCATCACCCTAACTGAAGAGGAGTTATTCAACGTTTTGGAATACTATGATAAAACTTTGTCTTCAAAAATATCCTACAATGATTTTCTCCAGGCATTCGTACAGTAGGATTTGGTCAAATGCAGGAAACTGTAGATAAAGACAGTGACTGATTTATAATTTCAAATTTCAAACTAATAAATTAATCGAGTATGGCTTTTTTGTATCTATTCATTAGAAAACTCAAAATACTTTAAAATTCTGACAGTGGTCCTGTGTTGTGGATTAAATCTACATAGTGAGGGAATTAATTTTGCATAATCCATTTATCAAAAAAGAAAAAGACAACAATTAACACTATCAAAATAATGCTCCCTAAGACGTCTCCAAAAGAAAGTCATTTAAGGAAATTCTTTTTTTAATTTTACGCATTTTATTAATGACATACTCTTAACTTCAGTAAAAAGGTTTACAAGACATACTATTGAATTTCCACAATTGTCATTTGCCAAATGTATGACTTTTAATACATTAGCCTTCAGTATTAAAAAAGAAATCCTCCTATTTCTCGGAGCGTCTTTTTCCTCTGCTTGCAGTGCCATAAGTGTATTGTCAAAGACACGTTAATATGGACCAGACATTGAAATCTGAGCAGATGCCAACTGTGCATGGACACCACACCTTTCTCTGTCAAAGCTGTTCTTCTACATCCTTCAGCACACTTTCAAAAAGAAGCTACTTTACCAATAAGCATTGGCCTCTTTTAATTGCAGAGAAATATTCCCAGTGTTAACCATGAGGTTTATTTTTTTGAGGATACTATATATATGTATTTATACAATAAACAGTAAATTGCAAATAAAACCTCTGATTAGATTTCCCAGTTCTAGAAAAATCCTGTTTGAATATCTTGTGAGGTACTTGGATCTTGGTGAGGAAATTAAAAGATAATTGTCTGACTTTTGAACTCTTGTGATAGTTAAAGGATAAAATGATCATCAGAGCCTGCTTCCTGGTATTACAGCAACAATTAAACACTTACCTGCTCTGAAGAATTGTTAGATAAATATTTCACTGTCTGGTTCCTGAATTAGTTTTCATTGGTACACCGAAGAGCCCTGTCCTCATCACCTGAACTGATTTGGAATCTTCCTTTCTCCCAAGTAACTTGCGAAGATAAGTCAACAAAAATTAATAAAACAAAAAAAGAGAGCAAGTTATGGGTGTACAAACACACACACGCACACACACATATAAACACATATGTATCAAGGGAAGTCTTTGGAATGGGAAAGGATAGAGGAACGCAATCTTGTTTTTTCTTATTATTTCTAGTGAACGTGTGAACCACTGCAATGAATCTGAAAGATTCCCAGGGCAGAACACTTTAATGCATGTTTTTTCTGAGAAAATGTTTCTTCGCATTTGGTGCTTTTCAGGAGATATTTTGAAGATTTTGAGTAAAAAGCATTGGGGATGTTTTAGGTTGGATGTTCTGTATTGTTTCTTTTAGCTTCTAAGATTCGTGTGATTTGTACTCTACTATAAAATAAATACATTTGGAATTGGATATATTTGAAATAGTAACATAAAAAATACCTGATAGACTTTTTTTCCAAAACTGATGGCTAAGTCCCTGAAATTGTTGCTTAGGTATTTGATTAACCGAGGAGACTGAAACTACCATTATTTAAGGATGTTCTCCCATACTAAATCAATACAAAAATTCCTAGTTCCATTAACAGTAGTTTTTAAGAATACATGTACACATGTCAGCAAGTGACTAACAAGGGCTGGTCCTGGTCTGGTTGCCTGAACACAGGCAGGAGTTCGCTGTTCCGACCCAGCTGTCCCCGTTAGTCCTGTATTAACACCGGCCAGGCCCTTGGGGATGTCTCCGGGGTCGGAGGGCATCTCAAACAACAATAGGGAACTGTGCTTCAGTAACTGAGCTGAGCCCAAGGGGCATTCTGTTTAGCCCCATTTAAGATCCAGTTAGTCTGGTTTTGTTTAATTTTATCCTTGTAAGTGGTGTGAAGCCTCAAACTGCTCCCTTTGTTAATGGCAACTTCTTTCCTTCTCCCCAGTCAGGTGCAACATGCCTGATTTAATCTCTGTTATTATTTCATACAGTTTATGTACTGAATTAATCCTTCATATTCCTTAAAGACTTAAGTGCTATTTCAGAATACCTAAGATTATAACACAAATATTACATTAATTATTTTTAAAATAGTGGATTTCACTGTACTGATCTAACCATGGAGAAAAAAAAAACTAGTTAAGTGATTATTGGTTAGTGTTGTTCGGTTTGGGGTTTGGGGTTTTTTGGGGGGGGGGGGGTCAGAATCTCTTATACCTCCTGTTTGATAATTGGATCTAATTTGATATCAAATACAATAAGACTTCCATCCCTGGGCTGCTTTCTGGCACAGAGCATGGCTACCATGTTTCACAAAGGGATGCAGGAGTTGCGTCCCCTGCTCTGCCATTTTCAAGATACCCACCATCTTCAGGAGAGGCAAGGGGATGGATGTCTCTGTGTTTCCTGACACATCCTGCCAGAGGATTTTTCATTAGTTCGACTGGCAGGAGTATCAAATCCAACAACTCCGAAGGGATTAAAGAACAATCTTTTTGCTGTACAAACAAATCAAATCCTGCTGGTTCTTTTAGTGAGTTCTTAAAGGCAGGGATGGCACTTACCAACTGTTTATCCAACCTCAAAAAAAAAAACCCCAAACTGAATTTCAACTGCCAGCATTTTGAAATAACTGAGGTAATTTTTCATACTAAAATTGCAAACTGCTGGGTGGATAAGCTTTGTAATAGAAGGTGGGGCTTTTTTTTTTTTTTTTTTTTTTTTTT